TTTTGCGTAGTAAATTTGATTGAAAAATCAGTGTATGACAGTGCTTTAACTTGTCATTTTACTATTACTGTACAAACCTCATGAAATCCCAGATTCAATGAACTTTCAAGTTCATTAAACTGTTGTGAATGGTAGTTATTGTATGTAATAATTTCTACGAATACATAATTAATGTTACGTGAGTTCCGGTTTTTCGGCACCCCCAAATCACTGCCCGTATAATGAGCCATAAAATGCGTTTTCTGACACATAAAAGGACAGATCTAGCAAAGACCGTGATTTCGTTAAATAGCTGTATAAGACACCGAACAGTAAAGCAAAGTGGTGCTGAACTGCGAGCCTTAATTAATCCATTCTTCATTGCCTTGATCTAAGAAAATGTGGTTGTTCGTTATTCAAATATGTGTTACTTTCAATCTCGTGATTATGACGCTAGTTTGGATAATGGATTGGTGTATGATCTCGTCGACCGAAACGGCGTTGTTAAAAGACTCAAACGCAAGAAGACGTTTGGGAAAATTTGAGGAAGAGTGTGAGATCATGAGCAGCGAACGTGACGGCGCAACTAATTGTTGCTACGTGATACGTCTGCGCTCAACACACGGTCTTGTCGAATCGAAAGTTCGCCAGAGTTTGCTGCGACTTGCTTTACGGCAACCTATGCTTCGAGCCGTCCTCACAAGTCTATCATCGCCATATTTGTTAAGAGAAGAAAAAGCCAACTTCTTTGACATAACGGAGCCCGATAAGGTGAAGGACATGATCAGATTGATCAAAGTTGATGTCAGTGCTTCGAGATGGTCGAAATTGTGGCACGCGATTGCTGTTCAGGATTTTAGGACGGAATTGCTGTGGCAAGCAGTTTTATTCCGTGAAGAATATCTTGTGGAGGAAAATATCTATGAAAACACTATTGTTTTCCAAGTAAAACACTGTATCATGGACGGTGTATCGGGCATTAAAATGTGTAAACAGTTTCTCAGTGAATTAAATTCCTATGACGTATGGAAGAAATCTCCTCGCACACTGACGTCATCACCTCTGGAAGTTGTCCCTAGTTTTTATCATTTACTTAAAGATCAGTATGAATCTCCATCTTTGTGGAGATATATGAAATCTTCTCTTCCACCATTACAGGATCTCATCAAGTTTATAGTAAGGTTAAGATTTCGATGTTTGCTTATCGCAAATCCAGAAAAGCCTTATGACTTTATTGAAACACAACCATCTCTTAAAACTCGCGATCTTGTGTTCAAAGTTTTTTCACGGAAGCAAACTAATGCCCTACGTAAAGCTTGTAAATCGAAAGGCGTCACGGTTACCGCTGCCCTCATGACAGCAGCTCACATGGCATTTTGCAAACTTGTTGAAAATCAAGGATCAAATTTACCAACTGGAAAACGTTTGTCGCAAGTTCTTGCTATCGACGGCAGAAGAACATGTCGACCTACACCACCAGAAGACTACCTTAGTACCATGGTGTTGCTTAGTCTGTTTTACACACCTTGTGATAATGAAGACTTTTGGTTGATAGCTGTGAAAATAAAAGAGCGTATAGATGATGTACTCAGCAAAGACGAGTCTGTTCATGTTGAATTGGAACAGCACGATATTTGGCAACCCGAAGAAAGAGTTAAAGAGTTTTTGTCTCCACTGTGCCTGGAGACTAGAATGATACTTTTCACAGAAAATTTCATGTCGAGTGCTGGAACATTTGACTTCGAGGACGATGAGATGACGTCTTACAGCTTACACGAATCGCTGTTTTACTCCATACCGTATGGATGTTTGACGTTTGCCAATCACTTCAACTCAACAATCAATGGCAAAATGTCCTGGGTCATCATATGTAACAATATCGCGCCTCCTGCCATCGAAAAAGAATTCACAGAACTGTGTTTTGCGATTCTCACGAAGGAAACTATTTCAATTTAAATCATTCAAATTTCGAAAAATATTGCCATGTGCGTATTTCGCATAACATTTGCTACCTGAATAGTCTCAATTAATGAATGGTATTTATATCTATATATAACTATAACTCGATTGCCTCTTGTATAAGAGTTATTTTGAGTGCAATTCTATAGCTATAATCTATTGCATTTTCTACTAATTAAGCCACGAGAATATAAACATCTATAAAAAGTCTGTGAAATTAAAATAACAATAAATAATATCTTCGTCATTTTAATGCTCGTTTTTCTTCATGATCTTCATCTTTTCAAGTGGAAGCTTTGAGTTGAAGTCGAAGATTTCAAGCATGGCTATCATTATATCGACAAATACGTATTTCAAGAAGGACGACTTTTTTACGAAACTGAGATTCGATGAAAAGGCACTTATAAGTCCAAAACGAGCTTTTCTATCCATCCAAAGACCAAACTCTTTTACCTTGACATAAGTTGTTTTTTTTAAAGAAAACACGTAAAAATGTAACAATAGAAAACCAAAAACGTCGATACGCGTTTACTTGAATCATACCCTATTGGTAAAAATTAGAGAGAAAAATAGCAAATAATAAGTCTTTATATATATATTTATTGTGCTAAACGAAAATTGCTCAAATGTTTTTCTACCTGTGAATGAACGCGTTAACTAATCCTTCTACAATCTCACGGAGAGGTCGCCACATTCTCTGTTAATTCATGTACTATCCCTCATTATTAATATTCCTTAGAATACCCTTCTCACAATACTCTATCGGTATATACCAAAGGTTTGCAAAGTACACTTTGAGTCTTCTTGCAAATCTCTTGTGGTGATTGCTTCCTCTTCACTTTCCAAATCGGATTCCTCGTCCTAAAGGAAAGACGCTGGTAGTATTTTTACATATCTTCAGAAACATCATGAACAGTTCCCACTACTATATACCACGTGAGCCAACGCGATTCCAAATTGTATAAGCGATTCATCGATATTTCTTTTAAACACATATCTTCAATAGACTCAGTGTTATTAATCGATTGCTTTAGTATTGGAGCCGCGTCCTCGCTAGAGCTTTTATCATTGTCAACATGCTTGGAATCATTCGTGTTTGCATTTGTCAACACCCATTCAAAACTCACGAGTGTGTACTAGGTTCTTGAACTACATTTCACTGTTGGAAGTTTCATTTTCAAGTATTTCTTCTACCTCAATCAACGAATTATAATATCCGTCATAAATAATAAGTAATTGTTTATGCACAAAATATGCAGATACAAAGTTATGAAAGAAAAACATCTCTAAAATTGTCACAGATATTACGAATGGCGTAAAAAAGTGTTCATGAATTTGACATGCTTTGTCAAAACAACTTAAGAAGACAAAGAGCATGCCAAAAATACATTATTGAAAATTTGCCAAGCGCATATACAAGCACCAATTTCAGAGCTCGTTCGGTCACAAATTAATTGAGAACGACCACCTGTACGTACTAGTATCGATTGTGAAATAAGTAGCTCGTTCAGTCATATATTTTCAGATAAAGTATCCGCGCATGCGCAGTCTGCTTGAGCATGCGCACTACAATTGATTAGCTGTCCAAGTTTATGGTCATGGCAACGACCAATTGCATCTATTAGAATTGATTTTGAAGTAAATAGCATGCTTATTAAAAATTTAATAGAGAAATCATCTGCGCATGCGCTCGAGCATGCGCAGTCCACTCGACTAATTGTTCATAGTCATGGCAATGACTAATTATATGTACTTGCACTACATTTATAGCAATTAGCTCACTTATTTGCAACTTATCAAAGAAATCAACTGGGCATGCGCAGAGTGACTTTAGTAACACCACAACTTTCGTAAGCCTTCGACTTTATGTATATAAATATAAATCTAAAACTTCATTTAGTAGATGTCAACTAGCAGTGGAAGCTGGGTGCGATATAATATGCAGTGGCTTAGGGGCGCACACTCTCCCTGCGTACCCCGAGCAAAGCCTATCGCAGGTGATCTCGGGGTCTGATGGGCGGAAGCTTGCTATTGCATCTCCCAAGTAGGATAGCGTGGAGGGGCCGAAATCTCCAACCGAAACGTTAACATGCGGCGTTCTAGTGCCTTGCGCTTAAGAAGGTATCGGGAAGCATGGACCGAAAACGGGGTTTTTTGCTTTTGATTTTTATTTTTTGAAAATTAAAATAAACCATGCAATGCTTCGATTAGATTCTTCTTAAACTTTCCTTTTTGTGACACTTATAATTAAAGACAGCTTCAATTTTGTTTTTATTCATTAATATCTTTCTGATTTAATTCTTTCATTTAATGTTTCTCATGCATCACGAGCAATCCATCCATCGGCTTCATGGCAAACAAGGATTATCTGGTCCCTTAATTAACATGCGACGCTCTAGTGCTCAACTATTTCGGGGTATCGGGAGACAGGGACCCAAAACGGTATTTTTTGTTTTCAAAATTTGTTCTTTTTCTTTACACGAAGAATTCTTTTTATAAAAGAAACTAGAACATTTAAGGATACTGCAAAAGTTCAAACAACTTCTGCCTTTTTGACTTATAATTCAAAGCAACGCTAAGAATTTCTACCTAATGCGCAGATATAAAGAATTTCTAAGTCATGTACCAAATTTCCTTCACAAATCAAAATTACCGTCTATTTAAACGATTTATAAAGTAAAAAGTTACCTTTACAACCGAACCAAACCCTGCTTTTCCAAGCATTTGCATCACCACTAATTCATTCCAAACTCTTGAATTACTCGTAACCGGAAGAGAAAAGTATCAAACAAGAAGGTTCATCTCCATCATAACAGCCATTTTGATTTCTCCCTTGATCTTTTTTAGCGTCCAGGAGACAAGAAGTAAATGTTAATAGTACATCGTTTTGTAACATAAATTCAAATTAACCAATCGCCTACTGGCTTCAACTGTGCGAGAGGAGTTTTCTAAAACTCCTCGGTTGAAGCTGAGAAAACAATATTCACATACGGCAGTAGATGTTTATAACTGATTTCATTTTTCTGTTATCAATTGTCAACAAAAGCCTAAACACAAGAATAGTAAGTTGCACGGTTCGGTATTTAGTCCTTTCTGCAATTTTGCATTACTTCGTGTAAGAGTCGATATTTTGTCAAAAGAGTTAATTGTACAAAATGGACGCCACCAAGCCGACAGAATAAATATTTATAATTTTGGAGCTCCTTCTCAAATCGCTGGAAGAAAATTTTTGGTGCTATCAAATGTCTTGAATCAAAGCAACTAGGCTTTTCAATGATCAAAAGAAAACATGCGTTGATTCATTATTAGTTGAATGTTTTTACTACGATACTGGTATCCTTTAATCCAACATTGAAGTATGCCTCATAATGGAAAAAAAACGAAAAAGATGCCATAAAATTGTTGATTTGAAAAGAAAAGAAACTAAAAGAAAACGTGATGAAATAAATCAGGAGACTGACAACTCGGAAAATATTCAAGAAGAAAATGCATCACCTTCAAAGACCGATGATTTGTGCAAACAACAGTTAAACTCTGCGATTAATGCCTTGGATGTTGAGCAAGAACTAGAAAAAAGTGCTTGCAAAAGCAATCTAAGTGTGTTTAATGTGAAAAGCATCATTCATGTAAGTAAAAGCTTCCGCTTCCACACAGAAAATTACCAAATCATACGTACATACTGTACATTACATCAAAAATTCTCAATGATCACATCTGATGTTAAAAGGCCCTTGTTTCTATGCCTCGAATGAAAAAATTTTTGTGTGTATGTGCAATTAACTTTCTATAGAAAGATTTCATGTGGCCAATTTTCCTTACCTGTCTAAAGCCTCAGTCACACTGTTCAAAGATAACAATAAATGATAACGATAAACTATAAGGAAATTCAATGGTCACATGCTAATGATAAATTATTTTTGTTATCGCAGCAATGTGACCGCACACAAGAGTTTGAATAACGAGCATTTTTTTGCATCATTATTGGATAGTTATCAGATCGTTATCGGGTGCAATGTGACCAAGGCTTAACTGATGAAATACTTGTAGTCATTGCATGAAATTTGTTAGTATATAAGGGCCTTAAAATTTTGAGTGTTGGGTGCTCTTGTTTTATAAACATATTTATTATTATGCATAAGCAATGAAAATTAATTTTAATAATTGGCATAGTTCTCTCTGTAGAAAATCATGAGTTTTGATTTCTGTTAACATTAATCATGCAAGAACATGGCATGTTTAAGTTACATCAAATTTTTAGATGGCATAGTAAGTGTAAACCTCTTGCAGTTATTGAAAACCTCAAAAACTTAAAATTTTATGCCAATTATGGATCCAACAAGGATTTTTTAGGAGTGTGCTTGGCTTAGTGATCAGTTAAAGTTCAGCAATTAGACTCCAATTACATATTTATTATCCTACTCATTGTTAGTTTCTGTTTTGGTCAACAAATTAAATATCATCAACAGTCAATGCACTTCAATGATATTGTGAGTAAAGCTTTTTCCATGAAAAGTACGATAGATGTTAATTTTTTTTTGTAATTTACACCTCTCAATGCACCACTGTCGACCATTTGCTAAAGGGATGAGAAACCCTGTGAACCCCCACAATAGTTCAACACCATTGTGCAAAGCAACAAAAATGGCTTGCATTTCTTTTGCATATATTCAAAAGATGAAATGCACCTTGATATGCAATAACATGTATGTATGTATAAAATATGTAACAACAACACAATTTGGTCCGTAGTTGAGGCTGCAAACAGATATGAGCTCAATCAATGAAATTAGTTGAAGAAAATTTTCAAATCAATCATCAATACCCAAGAGGAAAAATTAAAGCATTTGTTTTAAATTTATCTTTTCACATGTTATTTTATGAAAGAAAGAAAAGATGTTTTGTGTTTGCACAGGCTTATGCAAATATCACAGACTTTGGTGAAAACACTTGAGCAGGTGCAAACCTTTGCATTGAACTGCTCTTGTGTTGTACGAATATCTCCTCAGTTTACATAAACCTGTACAAACACAGTAAAATCCTCTATTTTTAGTTCCTCCATATGCATCTTATATAGTAATATAAATACTATTTACAATCAACAACAACAACAACAACAACAACAACAACAACAACAAACAACAACAACAAACAGAAACAACAACAAAAACTGCGAACAACAACAACAACAATAACAAGAACAACAACGAAACAACAACAACAAAACAACAACAACAAACAACAACAACAACAACAAAAAACAATAAAACTACAACGACAACAACACAACAAGAACAACTACAACAACAACAACAACAATAACAACAACAACAACAACAACAAACAACAGAACAAACAAAAAAAACTACAACAACAACAACAAAACAACAATAATGAACAACACAACAACAATGACAACAACTAGAGCGACAACAACAACAACTATAAGAGAAAGAACAAGAAGAAAATTTCCAGATTTATTTGAATATGTTGTCATAGTTCATAGTTGCAAGGTAGTCTAGTTATTCTAAAAGACATCATTGTTAATTTTCAGCATGTATTATCTGATGATCGTGTCGTTGCAATGGCCTGCAGTGCTGCTAATAAACAGCAAAATAAGGAAAAGGACAGCGCATCCAAAGATTGTTTATTTAATGTTATTGTGAGTATAGTTATCTTCTGCGTAATGATTCTAGTTTTGGCATTCAGAAAGAGAATGTCATTTATTGAATTTCTTTGTGTTGTAATGTTCTTTCTATGGTATTATAATTTCTTCAGTTGATCCTATGTCTAGGTATCTCACTTCTTGCATTATTTAAAAAAATAAAAGATGTTTACTGTGTTTGCACTCGCTTGTAGATCAGTGCAAGCCTGAGACCAAAGGTCGAGTTCTCACTAAGTTTCCAAAGTTTCCATGTATAAGCCATTGCAAACACAAAAAACGTCTTTTATTTTTTTGTGAGATAAGCAGTGTGCGAATTAACGGTGTGCAATGTGCAATTTGCACATCGTTTTAGCTAGAATGAAAACAATTGCACATCACTTTTTCAAACGATGTGCAAAAATCAGCAGTTTTAACAAAAAACACTGTCGTAAATCATATGAATTTGTTCAAGTTTAAAAATATTAATTTAGCAATTAGCGCTGTATAATAATTAACGTAATATCGATTTGATTATGCCTCTAAAGAAACACTTTTGTCAAAAAAATTGCACATCGTTTTTTCTGAACTAATTCGCATACTGGAGATAAGAGTAATGCAGAACAGGTAAATTTAAAACAAACGTTTTAATTTTTTATCGAATTAAACTCAGATCGGTTTGCACAGGCTAATGCAAACTCAGCTGTAGACCAATCAGTGCACACACTGTGTTGTGTTTATTTTTTTCTGATTGGTCTACAGCTGAGTCTTCACAGGCTAATGCAAACTCAGCTGTAGACCAATCAGCGGACGCACTGTGTTGTGTTTATTTTTTTCTGATTGGTCTACAGCTGAGTCTGCACAGGCTAATGCAAACTCAGCTATAGACCAATCAGCGCACGCACTGTGTTGTGTTTTTTTTTCTGATTAGTCTACAGCTGAGTCTGCACAGGCTAATGCAAACTCAGCTATAGACCAATTAGCTCGCTGTGTTGTTTTTTTTTTCCTGATTAGTCTACAGCTGAGTCTGCACAGGCTAATGCAAACTCAGCTATAGACCAATTAGCTCGCACTGTGTTGTGTTTTTTTTTCTGATTAGTCTACAGCTGAGTCTGCATAGGCTAATGCAAACTCAGCTATAGACCAATTAGCTCGCACTGTGTTGTGTTTTTCTGATTAGTCTACAGCTGAGTCTGCACAGGCTAATGCAAACTCAGCTATAGACCAATCAGCGCACGCACTGTGTTGTGTTTTTATTTTCTGATTAGTCTACAGCTGAGTCTGCACAGGCTAATGCAAACTCAGCTGTAGACCAATCAGTGCACACGTTTTATCGTTTTTATTATATATAATTTACCTAGTGTTCAGAAAAATCAAATCTATATAGATTGTACCTACCATATTCCTTAATCTATAAACTTGTGTTTAAGTTGTTATTCATCCAATCAAGGGCACGGATAGTAAATTAATTAGTGCATAAATTAATTACTGCATAAATTAATTACTGAATAAATTAATTACTGAATAAATTAATTACTGAAAAATTAATTACTGATTAAATTAATTACTGAATAAATTAATTACTGAATAGCTATGGTACCATGTTTTCAGCAATGTTCACTTGTTTACTCAAGACCGTTGTTGTGTCATCAAATACCATGTGTGACATTGCTAAATTTAGAAAATCATCAAGAATCTTTGATCTAGAAATCTAGTTTATCTTTTTATATTTTACGCAGCTACTTACTATAATATTATGTGTTCAGTTTATTGTAACTAGAACTTTCTATTTTGATCTCTAATTAATGATTTTGAACTCACGTAAAGGAGCCAAAGCTGACAAGATCAAAAGTTCGTGAGGTTGCGGAGACAACTGGAACATCTCTGGATCCTTTGCTTGTTGTGGTACGTACCTATATACATATGTAGGTGTTTACGTACATCACAAGTATTTCACATGTCACATGATATCACCATATAGGGAATATACAGTAGGGCCACTCTCAGTGCAATGTGCTGCTGTATATTTAATTGGATTACTGGCTGCCGTTTGCCAGCACAGCGCACCAATTCTCAGAAAAAGCAATTTAGTGGTTGCCACTATGGTAATCACATGCGTAATAAGATATATATTAATCCTAAGATATATATTAATAAGATAATTGAAATAAAATAAACCACGAATTACTTCATCGAAATTTATTCCCTACAGAACTGTTTCGTATGGCAGTTGTTTAACTTGCCACACTCCTCAGGAGAATACACTTCTCCTGACGAGTGTAACAGGTTTAACTACGAAACAGTACTGTAGGAATAAATTCGATGAAGTAATCGTGGTTTATTTTATTTTCAATTATACCGCTCTGCCGTGGCATTGAGCACTCTATCCGTGCGATTTTGTTTGCGATAGTTTCTATCACAAAATCCCATTATATTAATAAGATATATATTAATAAGATATATATTAGGTATAATATATTATATATATTCTCTGATGATGGCTTTGGAATAAAGTCGAAACACGGTGCCATCCAGTAAACTGCTATAGTGGCGAGAATCTCTCGTCCATACGCAGTTTAAAAGAGATTTGCTCGTCTCCAATCCCTGTGGGCTTGGTAGCTCAACAGGTAGAGCGGCGGACTAGTATCCCGAAGGTGCGAGCTCAAATCTCCTCCAAGTCACATGTTTCTCACGTGCATATTAAACCGTGTTAGGATTAATATATAATAAGATATACGTGGCGCAAAAAAATTAAATGTAGTGGCTCTACTGTATGTTCTCTATTCTGTGATAACATGAAATAAAAGATGTTTACTGTGTTTGCGCAGGCTTATGCAAACCGAGGAGACCTTTGGGAGAACTCGAGAGCAGATCAGTGCAATCCTGTTGCACCTGCTCTCGAGTTCTCCAAGCGTCTCCAGGCTTGCAAATACGAAAAATATCTTTTACATGTTATTTTCATAAAATAGCATTAATGCAAAACAGTTACGTGCGTACTTTCCAAATTTCTCTCCGTGTAATTCGATAATATTATTTTGACTTCAGAAAGAAAAAATCATCCAATCTCCTGTTAAGAACATCCTCTCACCTAGTAAGAAGAGAAGATTCACACCAGTTAAAGTTAACACTCCAGTTAAACTTGAAGACAAAGGTCCATTCAATGACGAAGTTACAGTACGTAAGAAATAACTAGTGTTGTGCTAAAATTGAAACACACTTTAGTTACGTAGTAGTTGCTGAGAAAAGCTTCATTGTTAATTATACAGGTGTTTACTGTCACTTGATTCATTGAAAGCTCAACAGCCTATTCCATCAAAGGTTTTTATAGATCTTGCGCGCTCATAACTTTAGCGACGTTTTGCTATCTCTTCAGTTTTTTCATACACCCTGTATAAATGGGGTTTTTTTTTGCATTCATTGTTTGTTGAGTGCGCCAAATTCCTTCAACACCTTCAGTTTTTTCATACACCCTGTATAAATGGGTTTTGTTTTGCATTCATTGTTTGTTGAGTGCGCCAACCTCCTTCAACACCTTCAGTTTTTCATACACCCTGTATAAATGGGTTTTGTTTTGCATTCATTGTTTGTTGAGTGCGCCAACCTCCTTCAACACCTTCAGTTTTTCATACACCCTGTATAAATGGGTTTTGTTTTGCATTCATTGTTTGTTGAGTGCGCCAACCTCCTTCAACACCTTCAGTTTTTTCATACACCCTGTATAAATGGGTTTTGTTTTGCATTCATTGTTTGTTGAGTGCGCCAACCTCCTTCAACACCTTCAGTTTTCATACACCCTGTATAAATGGGTTTTGTTTTGCATTCATTGTTTCTTGAGTGCGGCAACCTCCTTCAACACCTTCAGTTTTTTCATACACCCTGTATAAATGGGTTTTGTTTTGCATTCATTGTTTGTTGAGTGCGCCAACCTCCTTCAACACCTTCAGTTTTTCATACACCCTGTATAAATGGGTTTTGTTTTGCATTCATTGTTTGTTGAGTGCGCCAACCTCCTTCAACACCTTCAGTTTTTTCATACACCCTGTATAAATGGGTTTTGTTTTGCATTCATTGTTTGCTGAGTGCGCCAACCCCCTTCAACACACAAAAAAATCATGAATACTGTACATTGCTGTTAACTTTTATATTGTTTGCATGAATACAAAGATCTCTGCTTACGTACATAAGACAACCTACAAGAGCCAAAATCGAAAAGTCAAACTTTAGCTATCGTTACTCGGAGGTTCAAGTGCAAAGCGAAATATCTACATACGTAGTTCCCATTGTGTACTATTTTCATTTAAAGAAATTTATTGTTAAACGTATTTCTCACTGTGTATTATTTTTTCTGATGTTCAAAATATGTTGTTTTTTTTTCAGAGTGTTAAGTTGCCTTTGGCATTTCTTCATTTTCCTGAATGTGAATTGTCCGATGAAGAATATGATCCTCTAAAAGAGAACAATGTGAGTAAATTTTCGTCTTGTTCTTTTTTTTGTAGTTGTTGTTGTTGTTGCAGTTTTTGTCGTTGTTGTTGTTGTTGTAGTTTTTGTCGTTGTTGCTATTGTTGTCGTTGTAGTTGTTGTTGTAGTTGTTCTTGTTGTTGTAGTTGTTGTCGTTGTTGTTGTTGTTTTTGTAGTTGTTGTTCTTGTTGTTGTAGTTTTCGTCGTTGTTGTTTTTGTTGTTGTAGTTTTTGTCGTTGTTGTTTTTGTTGTCGTTGTAGTTTTTGTCGTTATTGTTGTTGTTGTCGTTGTAGTTTTTGTCGTTATTGTTGTTGTTGTCGTTGTAGTTTTTGTCGTTATTGTCGTTGTTGTTGTTGTAGTTTTCGTCGTTGTTGTTCTTGTTGTTGTAGTTTTCGTCGTTGTTGTTGTTGGTGTCGTTGTAGTTTTTGTCGTTGTTGTTGTTGTCGTTGTAGTTTTTGTCGTTATTGTTGTTGTTGTCGTTGTAGTTTTTGTCGTTGTCGTTGTTGTTGTTGTTGTAGTTTTTGTCGTTGTTGTTGTTATTGTTGTTGTAGTTTTTGTCGTTGTTGTTGTTGTTGTTGTAGTTTTTGTCGTTGTCGCTGTTGTTGTTGTAGTTTTGTCGTTGTTGTTGTTATTGTTGTTGTAGTTTTTGTCGTTGTTGTTGTTGTTGATGTTGTCGTTGTTGTTGTAGTTGTTGCTGTTGTTGTAGTTGTTGTTGTTTAAATCATCATTTAATTTTCGCCAGACTTGGAAACACGCACAAAAATGAAAAAGAAATTCCGATTTTCAGTGACAAACTTTTGGGTTAAAGTTATTTAAATCACTTTACACGTCATCTTCAACTGTTTCTATTCGGATATACATGTTCAACATTTTATCTGAAAATGTTTATGTTGTATAATGCGAACCTACGCATGTGGAAAATTTTCATTGATTTTTTTTATATGTGACAAGTAAACCAAACGACAATTTTAGCAACACATACTGTGCATTTTTCATTGTCATTTACACATACGTACGTCTAGTCCAACTTTTCATGTACGTAGCTAATGTAAATGATCACAGTATGATTTCGGTTTTGTAATTATAACTACTGAAATCAGTCTGCGTATCTAGTCTTATGTCTTTGAATGCTATGAACGTACAATTTTTTTGATCTAAATTTCCTATTTTAGGTGCAAAGTGACGATGATTCAGAAGGTGGACTATCCAGTGCGAGGTATGTAATGATCCCATACTTATTATGTTCCTGATTTTCATTCGTTTCTATTCAAGAAGTCTGTAAGCTCCAAAGTTTTCTAGTGAAATTTTCTTTGGTAATGTTTATATACTGTTGCCTCGTTGTTTTTGTTCATGATTAGGTTGTTTGGTAATGTTTATATACTGTTGCCTCGGTGTTTTTGTTCATGTTTAGGTTGTTTGGTAATGTTTATATACTGTTGCCTCGTTGTTTTTGTTCATGTTTAGGTTGTTTGTAATGTTTATATACTGTTGCCTCGTTGTTTTGTTCATGTTTAGGTTGTTTGGTATTCCATTTATTCCTTTTGTTTTTGTTCATGTTTAGGTTGTTTGTAATGTTTATATACTTTTGCCTCGTTGTTTTTTCATGTTTAGGTTGTTTGGTAATGTTTATATACTTTTGCCTCGTTGTTTTGTTCATGTTTCCATTTTTATGTTTATATACTTTTGCCTCGTTGTTTTGTCCATTCCATATTCCATTCCATTTGTTATGTTATTTTATTCATGTTTAGGTTGTTTTATTATATTTGTTGCCACTTTATTTCATTCCTCTTTCTGTTTAGTAATGTTTATATACTGTTGCCTCGTTTTTGTTCATGTTTAGCTTGTTTGGTAATGTTTATATACTGTTGCCTCGTTGTTTTTGTCCATGTTTACCTTGTTTGGTAATGTTTATATACTGTTGCCTCGGTGTTTTTGTTCATGTTTAGCTTGTTTGGTAATGTTTATATACTTTTGCCTCGTTGTTTTTGTTCATGTTTGGCTTGTTTGGTAATGTTTATATACTTTTGCCTCGTTGTTTTTGTTCATGATTAGGTTGTTTGGTAATGTTTATATACTGTTGCCTCGTTGTTTTTGTCCATGTTTACCTTGTTTGGTAATGTTTATATACTGTTGCCTCGTTGTTTTTGTCCATGTTTAGCTTGTCGGTAAACAATAGTGGGGCTAAGCACCGTCCTTCTTATATAACTCACAGGAAATTTTTCCTCAAGTCCGTTATTGTGTTCTATAAAATCCATGATTGGTTTTTGAATATCCGCAGTGGGTTTTCATAAATGAACATTCTCTATTCACGAACTGATATATTTCCACTTTTCCATTATTTGTTATTCAACATGGGAATGACGTAAACTCCGCGATAAATTAATTGTTGGATTTTTTAAAAATTTTCCCGTGACTGCAATAATTCACATCCATATTAATTTCTCAAATTTCATTTGTATGCAGTTTTCCCGAAAATATCTCACTTCCCCTTGTCATTGTTTCATATACGAATAAAAATTATTTAAATGGTTTTGAACTGGAGCCTGTCTTTTAATAATTATGATAAATTACACTGTTGTCTATCTTTTGAAAAGTATTAATAAAAATTAGTTATGAAGATTATGTGCATATTCCAGTTAAATTATGCCATTATTGTATAATTTGAACCATTTCAGCAACCTTGCCTCTCCTGCACTTCATCGTTTTACTTCAAGGGGCAAAAGACGCTTGGTCAATGATGACGTAACTCCTAGCCTGTGTCAAGTTGACCAATCTGTTGATGACGAACGGGATGATAAAGTGGAGATTGGTACGTATGTAAGCTTTTAAGCCTGTTTTCCACTAGCCACGTATCGTAACGTATCGTAGCAAAACGTAACATGGCGCATGCGTGCTTGTGTCTATTGATCATCAAACTCATAAGCACGCATGCGCCATGTTACGTTTTGCTACGATACGTTACGATACGTGGCTAGTGGAAAACAGGCTTTACGTCATTCACAAATGTCATTAATGGTTCACTTCAGTGTATACTACGTTCATTTGAGAAGATCGTGAATTGTTATAGATAGTTTTGAATTGATTTTTTAACAAATATGGTACGTATTGTCAACAACGTCGTTTATGTTGTGTGTTGGTCAGTGGCTTGACTGCCATGAGTTCTGAATGGATAGAGCCACGTGACTGCCATGAACTCTGAATGGGCAGAGCCACGTGCAGCCAAGCAATCAGCTTAAAACTGGGCACCCTCAACGGTGTTATTTATGAAAATAAAGATAAAAATAAAGATAAAAAAGTAGGTTTATATTTGGGCAATTTGAAGCAGAGGATATTTCTCATTGAAAGTCATTTGTGGATTCGTGTTCCTTGTAGTAGAAAACTCTATTTGGTATTTCTCTGTTTATGAATTGAAAACCTGTTAATGTTGTGTTCTATTAACAATTATTAACAAAATGTGTATGTTCTCTGATTTTGGTGAGTGTGTATTTGTGGGGGAAGGGGGCACCCCATTCTTGAAAGATGGTGTTGGCACGTATATCCTGTATCTTTTGGTTATTTTAAATTATCTTCTTCGTGAAGACCATATTGAGCGCTCTCAAATGCAACTAGGATTCTTGAAAATAAGTAAAGTTGCTCTGTACTTGACAGACTTTGGATGCGTGCTTAATTTATCCTTAGTGTCGTATGTATACACTATTCAAGATCAACAACTAACGTTTATTTAAACGTAACATAAAAGCGTAATACACATATTCAATCAATCTATAGCATATGTCCCATTCCCCAATAGTTCCAGTCCTTTTTTCTCAATCACTTGAGCCTACAATGTTCCGCTATTTACATGAGATAAGTACGTTATATTATCTGGATATTGTTCATGCACTTATCATTTTCTTTGATTTGTGTTTCAGTTCACGAGGAAAAATCTTTGTCGCCATTATCGGCTTTGCCACAAACCCCTGAGAAGGTAAACTTTTTACGTTCTTTGAACATCTGAATTTATCTGTCAAGTTTTGTGTATGTTATGTGGTTGTTAGGCCGACATTTTTTTGTCAAATTTAACGAGTACGTACGTATGACAAGAACAAGTATATCTCTCAATGAGTATGTGCGTGTCAGTGCCATCTAATCGTTGATTTATTCAAGGTTAATTTTTTTCATAGATCAATGATGATTTGATTGCAACCCGAACGAGATCGAGGTTGCCCCTAACGGAGACCAGTATTGAAAGTATTGAAGGTACAGCAATTACGTACGTACTAACTCATAATTTGTGGTTTGGATGCATTTTGAACTCATTCGCGTATGATGCTTTTCACCCTAAAAAAAACATTAGATGAATTCATTTATTTTGACAGACGTTAGATTTCCAACACTTCTATATAATTTGCTTGTTACAGTATAAAGCAAATTCCGAAGAAGCAAGACATCTTGAGATTGCAAAATATGCATCAAAACGATTGCATCAGAATGATTGATAGAATGATATTCTATCTGAGGATGACTTTGAAATAGAGTCGAAAATTTACTGTTCACTTCTCGTCCTGTTTTGATGCATATTTTACAATCTCAAGATGTCTTGCTTCTTCGGAATTTGCTTTATACTATATTTCTTTAAATTGTCGGTTTGTCATGGCTTTTGCTTGTTACATATCATGTAAATAATGTGTTAAAGTCGACAGCAAGTTTCCTTGTTGTTTTGTTTCTGTGCTAATCAATTGATCAGGTTTTCATTCACTATGAATACTGTTGTCCTGCTGGTCACGCAATTGTGTCATTCGAATTAAAGGTATGCAAAAATGTTTCTTTCTGCATTAAATTCTACTTTAGCGCAATTTGTTCCTCCTGATCTGCCATCGGATCTTTACGATGTTATTACGTTGGAGGATCTCGAAGAAGATGAAATTGATTGGCATAAATGGTTGTATGGTATAAATGCGGAAAAAGGTACGGCATCTCATGTTTCGGTAGGTTTGAAAAGAACTGTTGAAAATCATTTTGTCTCTATTTCATTTACCGTTGTAAATGTTTTCTTCAAGTTTGTATTTAGAATGTTTGTGCAGTGAAATTTTCATACACTTTTTTATGGACCTAATGAAGTATTCAGATGTTTGCAAGCAATAAATATATTTATGTCCATTTTACGTTGACTAATTTCAACTCAAAAAGTTGTCCTCTTGTGCGAATTTTGCTGACCGCCATGTTTGCTCATTTGACGTCATAACTTGTGCGGAAGTCGCCAAACTAATTATAATTTCTATTGCCATGCTGAAAATGTGTACTACTTATGACGTCAATTTAGCAAACATGGCAGCCAAAAAAGTTTGCACGAAAAGAAGCAAAAACCGCCACTTTTAACGTCCATAAAATCAATCTGAAAAGACAAAACTTAACTCTGTTTCCATGAAAGTGTTGCTGAGAGCAAGTACTTTCGAATAAGCAAATAAAGCAATGTGGGAAAATTTCACTGCATAAGCACTTTAAGTCCGTTACCAGTACCAGGCCTCTGTTACGTTACGCAAATACAGCGAACTACGTAATTTTTCGTCAGAAGCGGTAATAGAAACGGATGATCCCGAAGACTCCGAGTATAACTTCATGGCCGAGGAACAGAAAGAAGAGAAGGAAGAATACCGTACGGATCGAGCTGTAAAGATATCACGTAAGACTGTCAAAACATAAGAAATATGCCTCGAATTTTCATTAAAAAATTTATACGTAAATAGAGGAATGAGGTTCGTTTTCGTACGTTCATCTTGAAGGCCATATTGTTATACTGTCGTATTATTCTATGGCTGAAATCAAATTATCAAAAATATATAGCTGTGTCTTGTGAAGTTAGTACAATTCAACCACAGTATAGTGAATATACAGTAGAGCCACTCCATTAAATTTTTTCGTGCCACGCATATCTTATTACGCATGTAATTACCATAGTGGTAGCCAGTAAAATGCTTTTTTTGACCAATAGGAATGATAGAATTGCTAACGGCAGCCAGTAATGAAATATACAGCAGCCAGTTGTACACGAAGGGGACCTACAGTATATTCCCTATACTGTGATTTGACTCAGCTTTCGATCATTTTTATGTCGTGAAAAAACTTGGGATGTTCCGGACACCGGCATCCAATACCCGGTAATATGTGCCTATCCGGCAATATCCGATATCCGGTAAACTTCTGCAAGTTATGTACCGGATGTTGGGGAAACTTTTTTTACCATTTAAAAAATAGAATGCAGAATATTTTTTGTTTTAATATTACTCATTCTCAGCCGTGGGTTGCTAGCAAAGGGATAGAACTGTAAATGTTTGCTAGCTGGCAAAGTTATTTATAAATTTAGTTAGAAATATTTTTTATTTTGAGACGATGTTAACCCGTTGTAATATTAACATTTTATATGACACTGGTAAAACTTTGAACGTAAATTCTATACGGCGTATGTTCAGAGCTTTAGCAGCCAATGGGCATAATATCCGGTATCCGGTAGACTGCCACCCGGTACTATCCGGTATAACGGACAAAGTGGTATCCGGCACATTCCTATCAAAAACAAACAGATATCATTACTTAAAAATAAGATCTTGCTTGATATAAGAAAAAGATGGTATTATGGCTCGTGTTTCATGTTTGTAAATGTAGATCGTCCAGGTTGGTGTAGTCCTGAGAAGGACTGTCTTTGTTGTTGTTGACTGACGTTTCGACAACCTTAGCGGTAGTCATCTTCAGAGTCAAATGAGGAGTAAACGTCAGGTTAGCCGTATTTGTTATCTGGTTCTTACGTCATTGTATTGTGTGTACAGGAAATGTGTGGGTGTCAATTGTACATTTACAAACATGTAACGAGACTCCCGTGCTCAAACCATTTACTTTATGGCTCGTGTTTGTAGTCCAAGAGATTGATCAAGAAATAATCGCGTTGTTTTTATCTGCCAATATTGTTTGTACTCATAAATAACTACAAGACATGATTTATTGCCACGTTGTTTTTATCTGCCAATATTGTTTGTACTCATAAATAACTGCAAGACATGATTTATTGCCACGTTGTTTTTATCTGCCAATATTGTTTGTACTCATAAATAACTTCAAGACATGATTTATTGCCACGTTGTTTTTATCTGCCAATATTGTTTGTACTCATAAATAACTAGAAGACATGATTTATTGCCACGTTGTTTTTATCTGCCAACATTGTTTCTACTCATAAATAACTTCAAGACATGATTTATTGCCACGTTGTTTTTATCTGCCAATATTGTTTGTACTCATAAATAACTAGAAGACATGATTTATTGCCACGTTGTTTTTATCTGCCAATATTGTTTGTACTCATAAATAACTACAAGACTTGATTTATTGCCACGTTGTTTTTATCTGCCAATATTGTTTGTACTCATAAATAACTACAAGACTTGATGTATTGCCAAGTTGTTTTTATCTGCCAACATTGTTTGTACTCATAAATAACTACAAGACATGATTTATTGCCACGTTGTTTTTATCTGCCAACATTGTTTGTACTCATAAATAACTACAAGACATGATTTATTGCCACGTTGTTTTTATCTGCCAATATTGTTTGTACTTATAAATAACTAGAAGACATGATTTATTGCCACGTTGTTTTTATCTGCCAATATTGTTTGTACTCATAAATAACTTCAAGACATGATTTATTGCCACGTTGTTTTTATCTGCCAAAATTGTTTGTACTCATAAATAACTTCAAGACATGATTTATTGCCACGTTGTTTTATCTGCCAAAATTGTTTGTACTCATAAATAACTACAAGACATGATGTATTGCCACGTTGTTTTTATCTGCCAAAATTGTTTGTACTCATAAATAACTTCAAGACATGATTTATTGCCACGTTGTTTTTATCTGCCAACATTGTTTGTACTCATAAATAACTACAAGACATGATGTATTGCCACGTTGTTTTTATCTGCCAAAATTGTTTGTACTCATAAATAACTTATAGACATGATTTATTGCCACGTTGTTTTTATCTGCCAATATTGTTTGTACTTATAAATAACTAGAAGACATGATTTATTGCCACGTTGTTTTTATCTGCCAACATTGTTTGTACTCATAAATAACTACAAGACATGATGTATTGCCACGTTGTTTTTATCTGCCAATATTGTTTGTACTCATAAATAACTACAAGACATGATTTATTGCCACGTTGTTTTATCTGCCAACATTGTTTGTACTCATAAATAACTACAAGACATGATTTATTGCCACGTTGTTTTTATCTTCCAATATTGTTTGTACTCATAAATAACTACAAGACATGATTTATTGCCACGTTGTTTTTATCTTCCAATATTGTTTGTACTCATAAATAACTGCAAGACATGATTTATTGCCACGTTGTTTTTATCTGCCAATATTGTTTGTACTTATAAATAACTACAAGACTTGATTTATTGCCACGTTGTTTTTATCTGCCAAAATTGTTTGTACTCATAAATAACTACAAGACATGATTTATTGTCACGTTGTTTTTATCTGCCAATGTTGTTTGTACTCATAAATAACTTCAAGACATGATTTATTGCGACGTTGTTTTTATCTGCCAATATTGTTTGTACTCATAAATAACTACAAGACATGATTTATTGCCTCGTTGTTTTTATCTGCCAATATTGTTTGTACTCATAAATAACTACAAGACATGATTTATTGCCACGTTGTTTTATCTGCCAATATTGTTTGTACTCATAAATAACTACAAGACATGATTTATTGCCACGTTGTTTTTATCTACCAATATTGTTTGTACTCATAAATAACTTATAGACATGATTTATTGCCACGTTGTTTTTATCTGCCAATGTCGTTTGTACTCATAAATAACTTCAAGACATGATTCATTGCCACGTTGTTTTTATCTGCCAATATTGTTTGTACTCATAAATAACTTCAAGACATGATTTATTGCCACGTTGTTTTTATCTACCAATATTGTTTGTACTCATAAATAACTTCAAGACATGATTTATTGCCACCAGATATTGAATGCGTTTGCTTTGCAATCGGGAATCAACGTAGCAAACCGTTCATGTCTTATTACTAGATTACATAGAGCATTTATGCATGCAGCACGTTTGTGAAAGAGACTTTTTGGATGCATGAATGATACATCATCAAGATTTTTCCAGCTTTAGTTTTGTTCATTGTTGGTGGATTTCATGAGAAATAATTGTTACTTTTTTGTTTTCAAATATTAGAGAAAGAACTTACAGATCTTTTGGAGCAATTTTTGAATGAGGTACGTTAACGTAAATATATATATTATGCGTTTTACGTATGTAAAATGTTTGTGAGTAAAATGCGCACGAAACTTTGAAATTGCCTGGTTGTCGACTTAACGATAAAGAGTTGAGGAACTTCTTTCCCACATAATTCGAAGACTAGAATACAAATTTCCAAAGAAAATTTCATGTCGAGTGCTGGAACATTTTACTTCGAGGACGATAAGATGACGTCTTACAGATTACAGCCCTGGAACATTTGACTTCGAGGACGATGAGATGACGTCTTACAGATTACAGTGCTGGAACATTTGACTTCGAGGACGATAAGATGACGTCTTACAGATTACAGCGCTGGAACATTTGACTTCGAGGACGATGAGATGACGTCTTACAGATTACAGTGCTGGAACATTTGACTTCGAGGACGATAAGATGACGTCTTACAGATTACAGCGCTGGAACATTTGACTTCGAGGACGATAAGATGACGTCTTACAGATTACAGCCCTGGAACATTTGACTTCGAGGACGATGAGATGACGTCTTACAGATTACAGTGCTGGAACATTTGACTTCGAGGACGATAAGATGACGTCTTACAGATTACAGCGCTGGAACATTTGACTTCGAGGACGATGAGATGACGTCTTACAGATTACAGTGCTGGAACATTTGACTTCGAGGACGATAAGATGACGTCTTACAGATTACAGCGCTGGAACATTTGACTTCGAGGACGATAAGATGACGTCTTACAGATTACAGCGCTGGAACATTTGACTTCGAGGACGATAAGATGACGTCTTACAGATTACAGCGCTGGAACATTTGACTTCGAGGACGATAAGATGACGTCTTACAGATTACAGCGCTGGAACATTTGACTTCGAGGACGATAAGATGACGTCTTACAAATTACAGCGCTGGAACATTTGACTTCGAGGACGATGAGATGACGTCTTACAGATTACAGTGCTGGAACATTTGACTTCGAGGACGATAAGATGACGTCTTACAGATTACAGCGCTGGAACATTTGACTTCGAGGACGATAAGATGACGTCTTACAGATTTCAGCGCTGGAACATTTGACTTCGAGGACGATGAGATGACGTCTTACAGATTACAGAGCTGGAACATTTGACTTCGAGGACGATAAGATGACGTCTTACAGATTACAGCGCTGGAACATTTGACTTCGAGGACGATAAGATGACGTCTTACAGATTACAGCGCTGGAACATTTGACTTCGAGGACGATGAGATGACGTCTTACAGATTACAGTGCTGGAACATTTGACTTCGATGACGATAAGATGACGTCTTACAGATTACAGCGCTGGAACATTTGACTTCGAGGACGATAAGATGACGTCTTACAGATTTCAGCGCTGGAACATTTGACTTCGAGGACGATGAGATGACGTCTTACAGATTACAGTGCTGGAACATTTGACTTCGAGGACGATAAGATGACGTCTTACAGATTACAGCGCTGGAACATTTGACTTCGAGGACGATGAGATGACGTCTTACAGATTACAGTGCTGGAACATTTGACTTCGAGGACGATAAGATGACGTCTTACAGATTACAGCGCTGGAACATTTGACTTCGAGGACGATAAGATGACGTCTTACAGATTACAGCGCTGGAACATTTGACTTCGAGGACGATGAGATGACGTCTTACAGATTACAGCGCTGGAACATTTGACTTCGAGGACGATGAGATGACGTCTTACAGATTACAGTGCTGGAACATTTGACTTCGAGGACGATAAGATGACGTCTTACAGATTACAGCGCTGGAACATTTGACTTCGAGGACGATAAGATGACGTCTTACAGATTTCAGCGCTGGAACATTTGACTTCGAGGACGATGAGATGACGTCTTACAGATTACAGAGCTGGAACATTTGACTTCGAGGACGATCAGATGACGTCTTACAGATTACAGCGCTGGAACATTTGACTTCGAGGACGATAAGATGACGTCTTACAGATTACAGCGCTGGAACATTTGACTTCGAGGACGATGAGATGACGTCTTACAGATTACAGTGCTGGAACATTTGACTTCGATGACGATAAGATGACGTCTTACAGATTACAGCGCTGGAACATTTGACTTCGAGGACGATAAGATGACGTCTTACAGATTTCAGCGCTGGAACATTTGACTTCGAGGACGATGAGATGACGTCTTACAGATTACAGTGCTGGAACATTTGACTTCGAGGACGATAAGATGACGTCTTACAGATTACAGCGCTGGAACATTTGACTTCGAGGACGATGAGATGACGTCTTACAGATTACAGTGCTGGAACATTTGACTTCGAGGACGATAAGATGACGTCTTACAGATTACAGCGCTGGAACATTTGACTTCGAGGACGATAAGATGACGTCTTACAGATTACAGCGCTGGAACATTTGACTTCAAGGACGATGAGATGACGTCTTACAGATTACAGCGCTGGAACATTTGACTTCGAGGACGATGAGATGACGTCTTACAGATTACAGTGCTGGAACATTTGACTTCGAGGACGATAAGATGACGTCTTACAAATTACAGCGCTGAAACATTTGACTTCGAGGACGATAAGATGACGTCTTACAGATTACACGAATCACTGTTTTATTTCATACCGTATGGATATTCGACATTCTCTTGTCACTTTAACTCAACAATCAATGGCAAAATGTCTTGGGTCATCATATGTAACAATTTCGTGCCACCTGCGATTGAGAAAGAATTCACAGAACTATGTTTTGCGATTCTCATGAAGGAAACTATTTTTTAGCTTCAGTAATATGCATTAAAAAATCTTAATTCCGATTGGTTTAGAGCATTACAGTTATATAGTAAATTGTGTTGTGCAGTGGACTTGTTTAATCTCTTGTTCTCTTTCTACTTCCTCGCCATTTTTCTCAAACTGCATTCAATTTATAATTGCGTCTGATTTGATATTAGCACTTTCGTCGTAGAAAAATTTTGCTCATGTCAAGTGGTTTCAAAGAATTTATCGATCGTATATGATATATTCAGAGAAAAGAAATCTAATGCATGCAGTTATTTAAGTTATGAATACGTAATACTTCATGTATACCTCTCATATGAAGCGGTTTCAAAGAATTTATCGATAGATTCCGAGAAGGTCATCAAGGGCACATCGAGCTTTGCAAACCGTTGAAATATATTTGCTCATTGTTATGACATGAAGTTTTTTTGCGTGGAATTTATGATGTTTGCATTTAATATCAGACGTTCTTCTTGACCGTATCATTTCATTAGGAGAATCATGCTTTTTTTGTTTTATAGTAGAAATAAACACATTTGCAATATGTTCTGTAATCTACGTAGAATCATTATTCTAATTATCTTCAGTGTCTGTCGCTACTGTCTGTTCTCGTGCATTCATTAGTATCATATTATTCATATTTATATACCGCACTTATATTCTGTAGTCTACGTAGAATCATTATTCTAATTATCTTCAGTTTCTGTCGCTACTGTCTGTTCTCGTGCATTCATTAGTATCATATTATTCATATTTATATACCGCACTTATATTCTGTAGTCTACGTAGAATCATTATTCTAATTATCTTCAGTTTCTGTCGCTACTGTCTGTTCTCGTGCATTCATCAGTATCATATTATTCATATTTATATACCGCACTGTTGCAATTACAAAATACAAAACAAAATTCGATCGGTTCCGTGATAACGTATTGTTCAATTCCTGTGCCAACTTCGCAGTGGTTTTTTTAAACCGTTGATTATCGTCTGGCGGTCTTTATCTTTGGTGAAAATGTGGCTTGTTGCTGAAACTGAAATATTTATTGCTTTCATGGCTGTATTGCTGGCTTGGGCACTCATACGTTATATGATTTCATCGACTAAAGGTATGCGTTTAAAAAACGTATGCTCAAGGAGACGTTTGGGCAAATTTGAGGAGGAGTTTCTTTTAATGAGTGACGAACGTAAAGGTACGAGTAACTCTTGTTTTGTGTTAGTCCTTCGTTCGACGCAAAGTTTAGTGGAATCAAACGTTCGCCACAGTTTGTTGCGAGTGGCTATGAGTCAACCCATGCTTCGAGCTGTTTTTAGAAAGGTATCAAAGTCATTCTTTTTTGGCGAAGAATCCTTTTTTGACATAATTCAGCCTGATAAGGTCGAAGACATGATTCAACTAATAAAATTTGATGTTTGTGCTTATAAATGGTCGAAATCGTGGCATGTTCTTGCTGTTCAGGAATTTAAGACGGAATTGCTGTGGCAAGCAGTTTTATTCCGTGAAGAATATCTTGTGGAGGAAAATATCTATGAAAACACTATTGTGTTCCAAGTAAAACACTGTATCATGGACGGTGTATCGGGCATTAAAATGTGTAAGCAGTTTCTCAGTGAATTAAATTCCTATAGCGCATGGAAGAAATCTCCTCGCACACTGACGTCATCACCTCCGGAAGTTCTGCCTAGTTATTATCATTTACTAAAAGATCAGTATGAATCTCCATCCTTGTGGAGATATATGAAATCTTCTTTTCCACCATTACGGTATTTCGTCAAGTTTACAGAAAGGTTAAAATTACGAATTGTGTTGTCGCAGCTCCCAAAGAAACCTTATGACTTTATTGAAACACACATCTTTTGAAACTCGCGAACTTGTGTTTAAAGTATTTTCACCGGAGCAAACTAATGCCCTACGTAAAGCTTGTAAATCGAAAGGTGTCACTGTTACCGCTGCCCTTATGACAGCAGTTCACATGGCATTTTGCAAACTTATTGAAAATCAAAGTTCGAATTTTCCTGCTGAAAAATTTGTCGCAATTACTTGCTATCAACGGTAGAAGAGCATGTCACCTTAGACCACCAGAAGACTATCTTAGTAACATGGTGTTGGTTCGTTTGTTTTGCATTCCTTGTGATAATGAAGACTTTTGGTCAAAAACCGTGAAAATGAAAAAGCGTATGGATGATGTACTCAGCAAAGACGAGTATGTTCATGATGAATTGGAACAGCACGATATTTGGCATCCTAGGGAAAGAGTTGAAGAACTTCTTTCCCCCCTTAATTCGAAGACTAGAATACAAATTTCCAAAGAAAATTTCATGTCGAGTGCTGGAGCATTTGACTTCGAGGACGATGAAAAATCGTCTTACAGATTACACGAATCGCTTTTTTATTCCATAGCGTATGGATATTCGATATTCGCTTCTCACTATAACTCAACAATCAATGGCAAAATGTCCTGGGTCATCATATGTAACAATTTCGTGCCACCTGCGATTGAGAAAGAATTCACAGAACTATGTTTTGCGATTCTTATGAATGAAACTATTTTTTAGCTTCAGTAATATGCATTAAAAAATCTTAATTCCGATTGGTTTAGAGCATTACAGTTATATAGTAAATTGTGTTGTGCAGTGGACTTGTTTCATCTCTTGTTCTCTATCTACTTCCTCGCCATTTTTCTCAAACTGCATTTCAATTTATAACTGCGTCTGATTTTATGTTAGCAATCAAAAAACTTTTGTCATCGAAACAATTTGCTCGTGTCAAGTGGTTTCAAAGAATTTATCGATCGTATATGATCTATTCAGAGAAAAGAAATCTAATGCATGCAATTATTTCAGTTATGAATACGTAATACTTCATGTATACACCTCTCATTTTCTTCATCTGTGCTATCTTACGCATGCATGTGCAAACTTTATTTTGTGTACTTCTGGGGTTATTACGTTAGTAACTCTTTATAGTCCGATCACAGCATAGTGAATATACAGTAGAGCCACTCCAATGAATGTTTCGTGCCACGCATATCTTATTACGCCCGCGATTACCATAGTGATAGCCAGTCATTGTTGTTTTTTCGACCAATAGGAATGATGAAATGGCTAACTGCATCCAGTTATCCAATTAAATATACAGCAGCCAGTTGCACACGAAGTGGACCTACTGTATATTCCCTATACTTAAGTTCTGATGTAAATAAACATATCCTTCAAATTATTTCTTTAGTTTAGTGACGAGACTCCAGTACCTCAATTTAATCCATCCAGGTACGTGTTGATTCATCAAATGAAAATTCGTTGCCTGTACACGTTTCATGGTTTATTGTTGACTGACGTTTCGACAACCTTAGCGGTAGTCATTTTCAGAGTCAAATGAGGAGTAAACTGAAGAGTCAAATGAGGAGTTTTATGGTTTATCTTAAAAACAGTTATAAAAATGCGTATGGCTTGTACTTTAATATTTTCATATTAAACTTCTTCGAAGAAAACTTGTTGGCAATAGTATAAACGCAAGTAAGGAATAGTATAAACGGAAAAAGCCATGCAGATTAAATTTGACTGAGGACTCTCTTTCAAACCAGCACTTTAGTGAAGTGTAGAAAAAAGCAAACTTCTGGTAACGTTATCTTTCAAACTCGCAATTTTATTTATTAAAATAACCGGATATAAAATTCTGGAAACGTGAAATTAATGAAACGAAAATGTTTGTGATGGCTTAGTGGTACTTTGAAGTTTTCAAATAAAACTTTCTGACACACGCATTATTTAATATCACAATGCATACTTGTCATTTGGATTATCTGGAACAATTTGTTTTTGAGCAAAGTGTTCACAAATTTAGTCACATGATTTAACGTCCAAGCCTATTCACATTGGCTCCTTTCCAACTTTTTTGCGACCAGGCCCATTTTAGGGGCCGATTACATGGAGCAATTTTAGCCCGGGCTGAGTTTCAGTAGAACACTGCCTTGAGTAGAATATGTAAATGTGCAATAAAATACCGTTCTGACTTCGCCACTTGTAACAACAAACTTAAATTAATTGTTTTAAATTATTATTTAAATATTGAACTATTGCTATGCTCAATGACGTGTGTTTTTTTAACTGTTAACGGTTTATCTTGCCTTCCATAAACTGCCATGTCTTTCTTTATATCATGGACCTTTTATTTACTTCAAGCTAATACGACCACAGACAGTCATTGTCTTTTAACGTATTTTGTTGTAGGTCAACAAATGACGACGATTGCACAATTTTTTTACGACATCGGCAGTGTTTGGTGGAACAGCTTCAAAAGGTAATTGCGTGATTATCGCAAATCGCTCTTTATGATCACCCCCTTATCGAGCTTCTGCAATATCTGAACAACTGTTCGTGCAGTTTGGTTCGTGGCTATGATTTATGATGTTAGCTAAGCAGCATGTTGCTTAGCAGGTTTTTGCTTGACGACGGAGGTTGTTAGGTAACATGTAGTTCTTTACAAACTACCAAGTACCATTGTAAAAGTATATGTTCTTCAAAAAAGTATTTTTATTTTTTATCCTCCGAGTTCGTTATTACATGCAAGCGTGTTATCCGAGACAGGTATTTATATACAAATAAATTGTTTGTCAACAACAATATTCAACGATATGAACAGATCCATCATACCAGAACAAGTTATCATGTTGATTTACAGACAAGCTATCGTGTTATTTTCATGGCCTTTTGTTGCTCATGTTTTTTGTTTGTCAACAACAATATTCAACGATATGAACAGATCCATCATACCAGAACAAGTTATCATGTTGATTTACAGACAAGCTATCGTGTTATTTTCATCGCCTTTTGTTGCTCATGTTTTTTTTGTTTGCGCAACATTTTTGTGCTCATGTTTGCGCAACATTTTGTGCTCATGTTTGCGCAACAACTATGGAAAATTTCTTACATTTATGTTGTACTTAATCTATTCCGCTTAAAACTGTTATTTTTCTGCGTTAGAACTCAAATAAATGCCTCTTCCCTCTCAAGAAATGAACAAAATAATCAACTGAAATCTCTGAGTAATTTTGTTAAACTTGTTGAGTTTCGATTTTGTTAGGGTTATAACTCCTTAATCAACTTTAAGTAATTATTCATAACTATTCGATACTTCCGCTTTATCACCATAACATATTATGATGTAAACTTCCTATATTGATTCACTTCGCACTGAAGATGGCATAAAGTATGCCGAAACATGTTTTGCTTAAAAGAAATTTGTCGTTTATGTTAAATGTGTTACATGAAGGTTGATTACATGTTAACTGTGTTTGCACGGGCTTATGCAAACCGAGGAGACCTTCGGGAGAACTCGAGAGCAGATCAGTGCAAGCCAGAGACCGAAGGTCGAGGGTTGCACATGCTCGAGAGTTCTCACAAACGTCTCCGAGGTTTGCATAAGTCAGTGCAAACACGAAAAACATGTTTTATTTCTTTTATAAAATAACAATAATGCGAAAAAAGACAAACATTTTAATTTTTCCTCTAAAATGTATTCATGATCGATTTGCAAATTCTCTTTGACTGATTGATTGTTTAGATTGATTTGATTGGTTGCGCTCAGATGTGTTTTGCACTAACTAATGCAAACTCAGCTCTAGACCAATCAGCGCACGCGTTTCATTGTGTTTATATTATAATCTCTTGTTTAGCACACGCAGCTGTTGGTGCAGACATCTCTACTTTCTAAAGAACATCCAGACCTCAGTTATGTGACGTCATCTTGTGAGGAGTTATTTCAAGACATGATTCGAATGAATGATATGGCCAGTTCTGTATACGTATCTCGTCTTGCTTACAATAAGTATGCCTTACCTCCTGTCTTCTCGTCTGTTCAACTTGATGAGGCTCAAAGGTACGCTATATTGTCTGTATTTGTGTTTCACACAGTTAAAATCTATCTATTAATGAACACTTAATGTATGCTCCCGAGGGAAATGGTGAGTTTTATTTTCCAAGCGTCTCAATGTTTCGAAGTCGAGGAAACATTGAGACTCGAGGATCAACGTCTTTTGGCAAGAATTCGTGGAAGATGCTAAATAGCATACCAAAAGGCAACAGTTTGATATTGTGGATGTATTACTTCACTTTTGACACCAATGTTAGTGGAAGATGCTAAATAGCATACCAAAAGGCAACAGTTTGATATTGTGGATGTATTACTTCACTTTTGACACTAATGTTAGTGGAAGGTGCTAAATAGCATACCAAAAGGCAACAGTTTGATATTGTGGATGTATGACTTCACTTTTGACACTAATGTTAGTGGAAGATGCTAAATAGCATACCAAAAGGCAACAGTTTGATATTGTGGATGTATTACTTCACTTTTGACACTAATGTTAGTGGAAGATGCTAAATAGCATACCAAAAGGCAGCAGTTTGACATCGTGGATGAATGACTTTACTTTTGACACTAATGTTAGTGGAAGATGCTAAATAGCATACCAAAAGGCAGCAGTTTGACATCGTGGATGAATGACTTTACTTTTGACACTAATGTTAGTGGAAGATGCTAAATAGCATACCAAAAGGCAACAGTTTGACATCGTGGATGTATGACTTTACTTTTGACACTAATGTTAGTGGAAGATGATAAATAGCATATCTCAAGACAAAACAGTTTGATATTATGGATGTTGAATAGATATATGTTTTTTACCGTTTACGTCAGTCCATATAGGAAAATATCTTCCCGAGGACGCATATCGAGGATGATTTTAAGAAGGAGGATGTTTTTAAGATCGAGGATGTTTTTAAGATCCAGGATGTTTTTAAGATCGAGGATGATTTTAAGAAGGAGGATGTTTTTAAGATCGAGGATGTTTTTAAGATCGAGGATGTTTTTAAGATTGAGGATGTTTTTAAGATCGAGGATGTTTTTAAGATCGAGGATATTTTTAAGATCGAGGATGTTTTTAAGATCGAGAATGTTTTTAAGATCGAGGATGTTTTAAGATCGAGGATGTTTTTAAGATTGAGGATGTTTTAAGATCGAGGATGTATTTAAGATCGAGGATGTTTTTAAGATCGAGGATGTTTTTAAGATCGAGGATGTTTTTAAGATCGAGGATGTTTTTAAGATCGAGGATGTTTTAAGATCGAGGATGTTTTAAGATCGAGGATGTTTTTAAGATCGAGGATGTTTTAAGATTGAGAATGTTTTAAGATCGAGGATGTTTTAAGATCGAGGATGTTTTAAGATCGAGGATGTTTTAAGATCGAGGATGTTTTAAGATCGAGGATATTTTTAAGATCGAGGATGTTTTTAAGATCGAGGATGTTTTAAGATCGAGGATGTTTTTAAGATCGAGGATGTTTTTAAGATCGAGGATGTTTTAAGATCGAGGATGTTTTAAGATCGAGGATGTTTTAAGATCCAGGATGTTTTAAGATCGAGGATGTTTTTAGATCGAGGATGTTTTAAGATCGAGGATGTATTTAAGATCGAGGATGTTTTAAGATCGAGGATGTTTTAAGATCGAGGATATTTTTAAGATCGAGGATGTTTTAAGATCCAGGATGTTTTAAGATCGAGGATGTTTTAAGATTGAGAATGTTTTAAGATCGAGGATGTTTTAAGATCGAGGATGTTTTAAGATCGAGGATGTTTTAAGATCGAGGATGTTTTTAAGATCAAGGATGTTTTAAGATCAAGGATGTTTTAAGATCGAGGATGTTTTAAGATCAAGGATGTTTTAAGATCAAGGATGTTTTAAGATCGAGGATGTTTTAAGATCGAGGATGTATTTAAGATCGAGGATGTTTTAAAGATCGAGGATGTTTTTAGATCGAGGATGTTTTTAAGATCGAGGATGTATTTAAGATCGAGGATGTTTTAAGATCGAGGATGTTTTAAGATCGAGGATGTTTTAAGATCGAGAATGTTTTTAAAATCGAGGATGTTTTTAAGATCGAGGATGTTTTTAAGATCAAGGATGTTTTTAAGATCCAGGATGTTTTTAAGATCGAGGATGTTTTTAAGATCGAGGATGTTTTTAAGATCGAGGATGTTTTAAGATCGAGGATGTTTTAAGATCGAGGATGTTTTTAAGATCGAGGATATTTTTAAGATCGAGGATGTTTTAAGATCGAGGATGTTTTAAGATCGAGGATGTTTTAAGATCGAGGATGTTTTAAGATCGAGGATGTTTTAAGATCGAGGATGTTTTAAGATCGAGGATGTTTTAAGATCCAGGATGTTTTAAGATCGAGGATGTTTTTAGATCGAGGATGTTTTAAGATCGAGGATGTATTTAAGATCGAGGATGTTTTAAGATCGAGGATGTTTTAAGATCGAGGATATTTTAAGATCGAGGATGTTTTAAGATCCAGGATGTTTTAAGATCGAGGATGTTTTAAGATTGAGAATGTTTTAAGATCGAGGATGTATTTAAGATCGAGGATGTTTTAAGATCGAGGATGTTTTAAGATTGAGGATGTTTTAAGATCGAGGATGTTTTAAGATCGAGGATGTTTTAAGATCGAGGATGTTTTTAAGATCGAGGATGTTTTAAGATCAAGGATGTTTTAAGATCAAGGATGTTTTTAAGATCGAGGATGTTTTTAAGATCGAGGATGTATTTAAGATCGAGGATGTTTTAAAGATCGAGGATGTTTTTAGATCGAGGATGTTTTTAAGATCGAGGATGTATTTAAGATCGAGGATGTTTTTAAGATCGAGGATGTTTTAAGATCGAGGATGTTTTTAAGATCGAGAATGTTTTTAAAATCGAGGATGTTTTTAAGATCGAGGATGTTTTTAAGATCAAGGATGTTTTTAAGATCCAGGATGTTTTAAGATCGAGGATGTTTTAAGATCGAGGATGTTTTAAGATCGAGGATGTTTTAAGATCGAGGATGTTTTAAGATCGAGGATGTTTTTAAGATCGAGGATATTTTAAGATCGAGGATGTTTTTAAGATCGAGGATGTTTTAAGATCGAGGATGTTTTAAGATCGAGGATGTTTTAAGATCGAGGATGTTTTAAGATCGAGGATGTTTTAAGATCGAGGATGTTTTAAGATCAGGATGTTTTAAGATCGAGGATGTTTTAAGATCGAGGATGTTTTAAGATCGAGGATGTTTTAAGATCGAGGATGTTTTAAGATCGAGGATGTTTTAAAGATCGAGGATGTTTTTAGATCGAGGATGTTTTAAGATCGAGGATATTTTTAAGATCGAGGATATTTTTAAGATCGAGGATATTTTTAAGATCGAGGATGTTTTTAAGATCGAGGATGTTTTAAGATCGAGGATGTTTTAAGATCCAGGATGTTTTAAGATCGAGGATGTTTTAAGATCGAGGATGTTTTAAGATCGAGGATGTTTTAAGATCGAGGATGTTTTAAGATCGAGGATGTTTTAAAGATCGAGGATGTTTTTAGATCGAGGATGTTTTAAGATCGAGGATATTTTTAAGATCGAGGATATTTTAAGATCGAGGATATTTTAAGATCGAGGATGTTTTTAAGATCGAGGATGTTTTAAGATCGAGGATGTTTTAAGATCGAGGATGTTTTAAGATCGAGGATGTTTTAAGATCGAGGATGTTTTTAAGATCGAGGATGTTTTAAGATCGAGGATATTTTAAGATCCAGGATGTTTTAAGATCGAGGATGTTTTTAAGATCGAGGATATTTTTAAGATCGAGGATGTTTTAAGATCGAGAATGTTTTAAGATCGAGGATGTTTTAAGATCGAGGATGTTTTAAGATTGAGGATGTTTTAAGATCGAGGATGTATTTAAGATCGAGGATGTTTTTAAGATCGAGGATGTTTTTAAGATCGAGGATGTTTTTAAGATCGAGGATGTTTTAAGATCGAGGATGTTTTAAGATCGAGGATGTTTTAAGATTGAGGATGTATTTAAGATCGAGGATGTTTTAAGATCGAGGATGTTTTTAGATCGAGGATGTTTTTAAGATCGAGGATGTATTTAAGATCGAGGATGTTTTTAAGATCGAGGATGTTTTTAAGATCGAGGATATTTTTAAGATCGAGGATGTTTTTAAGATCCAGGATGTTTTTAAGATCGAGGATGTTTTTAAGATTGAGAATGTTTTTAAGATCGAGGATGTATTTAAGATCGAGGATGTTTTAAGATCGAGGATGTTTTAAGATTGAGGATGTTTTAAGATCGAGGATGTTTTAAGATCGAGGATGTTTTTAAGATCGAGGATGTTTTTAAGATCGAGGATGTTTTTAAGATCGAGGATATTTTTAAGATCGAGGATGTTTTAAGATCGAGGATGTTTTAAGATCGAGGATGTTTTAAGATCGAGGATGTTTTTAAGATCGAGGATGTTTTAAGATCGAGGATGTTTTAAGATCGAGGATGTTTTAAGATCGAGGATGTTTTAAGATCGAGGATGTTTTAAGATCGAGGATGTTTTAAGATCGAGGATGTTTTAAGATCGAGGATGTTTTAAGATCGAGGATGTTTTAAGATCGAGGATGTTTTAAGATCGAGGATGTTTTAAGATCCAGGATGTTTTAAGATCGAGGATGTTTTTAAGATCCAGGATGTTTTTAAGATCGAGGATGTTTTTAAGATCGAGGATGTTTTTAAGATCCAGGATGTTTTTAAGATCGAGGATGTTTTTAAGGTCGAAGATGTTTTTAAGATCGAGGGGAAATATTTTTCTATCCTGACTGACCTGAACGGTAAATAACGTATTTATTTTTTCTGAAGGCGACAGTGCTTCTAGATTGTGCTGTTTGATTCAACAATGGCGGCAATGTAAAGAATCGAAACTTTTCTGTTCATTTCAGCTACTTTGGGGAATTCAAAATTCACTTAAAACGGATTAGAACGGCGGACTAGTATCCCAAAGGTGCGAGTTCAAATCTCGTCCAAGTCACATGTTTTCCATGTGCATATTAACCGTGTTAGGATTAATATATTATATATTTTCTCTGATGATGGCTTCGGATTACTACCATCCAAGGTTTTTATAACAAAACAAAACAGAACAAGAACAAGTCTTCACTCAAGTATTTGGCTATAGGATTCTGGACCGCAAACTTCCGCCCTCTACTGCAGCCAATCAGATTGCATGAAAGGCCGAGTTTCCGCGCGCACTTCTCAGTTTTGAAAAAATACAACGTTTCTTGACAATAAAGTTAGCGAAAGATGTTAAATAGCACAAAAGTTAGATATCGTAAAAAACAACATGTCTCTGAAAACGTCGTCTAGTTCAAAAAAAAGTTGGATATCGTAAAAAACAACATGTCTCTGAAAACGTCGTCTAGTTCAAAAAAAAAGTTAGATATCGTAAAAAACAACATGTCTCTGAAAACGTCGTCTAGTTCAAAAGTTGGATATCGTAAAAAACAACATGTCTCTGAAAACGTCGTCTAGTTCAAAAAAAAAGTTAGATATCGTAAAAAACAACATGTCTCTGAAAACGTCGTCTAGTTCTTAAATTCAACTCTTGAACCGCAAGTGTGCATGCATTGAAAATAGAAATGAACTAGGAAGATATTGAAATGAAATTTTCCATTCAGAAACATAGTAGGTATTTCTATGGACGGGGCGGGTGGCTGAATGGTTAATTGCGTGAGCTGTAAGCCAGACGGCGCGGGTTCAATCCCGGCTCGTGGCACATTTGGCAATGTGTCAGTAAACCTAGCCCGAGTTGACCAAAGCCATGTGAGGGAAATTTGGTAGAGGAAACTATGTCCTCGGATGGACTGTATCGGCATCTGCAATGTTGCAGCCATGTCACACTGTGTCACGCTGATATCAGCGTTGTGGTTGCGTGAAGGGTACGAGTGATTGTAGTCTGGCCTTCACTATAAGTGACCTTCACTATAAGTGTTCCACTTTGTGGAACCCTCATACGTCGAAATCGACGGAGTCCATTATATATAGGTATTTCTATGTTTCCATGTAGCTGCTTCTATTTTATATGATTTAGGAAATAGTGATTCGTTCAGGTGAAAAGAGAAAATAGTATATATCGTGTTCTTAAACGTTTTTAGATTGATGAACATCCCTTGGCCATCACCTGTTTCGACGAAGACAACAAAATCAATTAAAAGCACGTCACCTCTTGTTATCCCGGATGAACTTAAAACTATAATGACGTCATCACCTTTCTTTGCATACCCGGATATATTACCACACGTGACTTTTAACGTGAAAAAATCGATACCAAGTCGGGGCGAGAAGTTTCTACAAAGCGAGGATAATCTTCTTGTCTTGGGTCTTGAGAAATGCGGTCGTTCCTGGAGTGACATCAAGAAATGTTTTCTTCCCGTGAAGACGTTGAATCAAATCAAAATAAGGCGGAAGAACATGTGCTCGAAGCGAGCTTACGATAATGTCGTCAAGGAATTTGAAAACACGGGCATTGTTCCTTTACTACCTCGCATTCCTGCCATGCCAGGTAAAGCCACGTGCAAACGCGCTCAACATGTTGACTCAACATTGTCCTGCACTTGTTGTGTGATGTTTAGCGATGTGTGCAAACGCCTTCAACATGTTGACTCAACATTTATTCAACATTGTCCTGCTCTTGTTGTGTGATGTTTAGCGATGTGTGCAAACGCCTTCAACGTGTTGACTCAACATTTACTCAACATTGTCCTGCTCTTGTTGTGTGATGTTTAGCGATGTGCAAACGCCTTCAACGTGTTGACTCAACATTTACTCAACATTGTCCTGCTCTTGTTGTGTGATGTTTAGCGATGTGTGCAAACGCCTTCAACATGTTGACTCAACATTTATTCAACATTGTCTTGCTCTTGTTGTGTGATGTTTAGCGATGTGTGCAAACGCTCTCAACGTGTTGAACCTATGAGATAAAATATTCCACGATGCCTAGCAACGGCAGGAACACACATATTCAGTGACGCCATTTTTACAATAATATACGCCGCACAGCGCGCATGCGTAAGCTCAACATTGTTAATTGAGCTGTTCAAACGCACTAAACAATGTTTAGACACGCATCAATGAGCGTGGAACAAAGAAAATGTTTAGCGTCGTTGAGTGAAAGTTTGAAGAAGTCCAAACTTCTTTCAACAACGCTCAACACATCTCAACACCACTCAACACCACTCAACACAACTCAACACAACTCAACAGGGTATGCAAATGTGCTCAACATGTTGAGTCAACACAACCCAACACGGTGTGCAAATGTGCACAACATGTTGAGTCAACACAACTCAACACCACTCAACAGGCTGTGCAAATGTGCTCAACATGTTGAGTCTACAATGTTGAGTGAACATGTTTGAACGCGTTTGCACGTAGCTTAAGGCAAGGAAATCGGTTACATCAGTCGATTTCAATGCTTTTATATAACATCTGTTGTGATCTTTTTATTTTACGTTGCTATTACTTGTTAGTAGAATCATACTAGTATTCTATTTGAAATGCTTCGATTTGATTGGCTACTCTACCGGCATTCCAATTTTCAAAACATTGCGAGTAACAAGAGTCGTTTGCTTTTTGGTGTAAACGATGTCAACTACAACAAATGGATAAAACAACGAAATAAGAAAAACTTTAGCAACCCTTTTCTTTATGAATACTAATATGATTCTACTAAAACAATTAGATTTCTCCCTCTCGATTTCCGTGATGCGTGTAGTTGCTTCCAATGATTTAGAACCCAATCCTCTAGACGTCTAACTACCGTGTCAAGGTGAGGCAAGGACGCCATCTTGAAAGGTGGCAAAAAACAAAGCTCAAAATGAAAAATAAGTTAAAACAAAGTTTAAAAAACCCATCCTATCAAACACTTTAAGAATCAAACCTAGACTATTAACTTCGCGACCCTATATCAACTCAGAAAAAGCAGATATTAGTCGTAAATATCGTCAGGTTTGCCACCTTTCAAGATGGCGGCTTGCCTCACTCATTACTATACAATTTCGGCGGAGTCAGTTATTTAGTGAATTGGGTTCTAAATCATTGGAAGCAACTACATTTGTTGATTCGGTCTCGTAATCTAATTGTTAATTCGAAAGCACTTTTTTTCAGCAACGGAAAACCTGTCGAAAAGTTAATTTAGACAATTTGTTTTACATCAAAAATCGAAACACTAATCATTTTGCTAACTCCAGGGAGATCTACTCGACATTTAAGACGAAATTCAAAATATCATCCACCAACATGCAGAAATAAAACAAGCAGCAATAAACAAACAGAAAGCACTCAACTACGCCAACAAAGACGACAGGAGAATTAAAAGAACGACCAGCAAAAACGGACAACGTAACATCCATCTGATTCAATCTACTATTATAATGCGTATGATATACAAATATGAAACAGAAAGCACTCAACTTCGCCAACAAACACGACATAAGAATTAAAAGAACGACCAGCAAAAACGGACAACGTAACATCCATCTGATTCAATCTACTATTATAATGCTTATGATATACAAATATGAAACAGAGAGCACTCAACTACGCCAACAAACATGACATAAGAATTAATAAAACGACCAGCAAAGAAGGATAACATAACATCCATCTGATTCAATCTACTATTATAATGCGTCTGATATGCAAATATGAAGTTGATTTTAAAGTTTTATGTTTGTTCTATGAACGCCATTATTTAGCGAATGCAGAGGAAAAAACGAAGAATTCTACACACTATGCTGTGCGCAACAAAGATACCACTCCATCATGGTACAAGAAACTCAACCCAGTTAAAGTACCCACCAAGTCAAAGAAACCATCTCCTATTTCGTGTAAGAAGAAAGACAATAGAAAGAAAAAGACTATAAAACCATCTGAGGGTGATGTAAACAAAATAGACCTTAATTCCGGAAACTCTTCTTCTGTTACCCCTCCTTCAGTTATTCTATCTTCATGCCCATCTACTACGTCTCCGTCAATTACCTCTTCTATCACCCCTCCCTCAGTTGCACTAACTTCACTCCCATCAACTACCTCTCAGTCAATTACTTCTTCTATCACCCCTCCCTCAGTTGCACTAACTTCACTCCCATATAATGCTTCTCAGTCACCCAATACTACTATGCCTGCTGTTGCTACACCTTCAAGAACGACGCATGAAATTTCAGAGGTATGTTTCCCCAATTTCGCCTGATTTTTGTGGAGTAGTCCTATATTCGATGAAGCATTTCTGTGATAGATGAGGCTTGGTAAGATTGAGGGGAAGTGTGGCATATCCCCAGCAAAACAAATGGAAAAAACTTCTATGCCGGATGTTCAAACAAGCACATCTGGGGAAGCTCCTCAAGGCCTGGATTGCGTTATCCATTGGACAGTAAAATTTTCAAACTTGTAAAAAAGTGCATATATTTTCGTTAGGACAAAGAAATGTAGTAATTTTACAAGCATTATTTAATTTCAGCGATTGCTCCGTTAAAATCTTATATTTTTCCCTTTTCAAGAGGTTTTTAAACGTTTAAAAAATGGCTATCCAATGGACAACGCTATCCAGTAAATTTTGTAGCCTTTCAACCAATGAAAAGTGTTGCGAATTTAAAATCCCAAATATTTTAACGATTGTTTACTTCCTATGAAGAATGTTTTTATGCAGTGCGGTGTTTGAAATTAAATGTAGATATGATCTTCGCACTTTGTTGGAAAATTTAAGCAATTGTCTCATAAAATTGTCACCTGAATTTTTCAGGTTCATGAGACAATTGCTTAAATTGCCCAGCAAAGTGCGAAGATCATATCTTCATTTAATTTCAAACACCGCACTGCATAAAAACATTCATCTTATGACATTCCTTTCACGAGAAAACATGAGCCCAACAAAATTGACCTGCTCACCACTGTGTGACTTCATAGCTCAGTTGGTCAGAGCACTGCACCGGCACCGCAGAGGTCATGGATCCTGTTTACTTCCTGATAACACACTAATTGTACATTGGTTGGAAGTCAATTGGTTAATTGTGTTTGACGTTTTGGAGAATTGTTTTGATACGACCACTGAATCATCATCTTGAATCTGAATCTGTTGTCTTCTCTTCCTTCACGAAAACAGCTGTGCTAGATTAATTGTGCCTTTACAGATAACTGCATTCGAGCTGAAAGATGTCTCTCAAAGGACAAAAAAAGACTCAGCATTGATGGAATCAACATGCTCTCCGGCTAAAAATACAGATAACTTGAAGGAAACTCTTCTATCCAAAGTTAATGATTCTACAGCTTCTATGATTAGCAAAGACAAAAACGTGTCAACAAGGTATGGAACAATTTTACCTGATTTTTTCTTGTTTATTTATGACGTTTTCCTTGTTTGTGTAATGCATTAGTGTTTGTTTTTGACATTAATAAGCCCTTAATAATCGAGCGCGAGGTCTTTACGGAGAAATATCGGACCGAAGTTTTTTTGTACAGACCGAGCCCGTAAGGTGAGGTTTGTACAAAATAATAGAGGTCCGGTATTTCTCAGTAAAGACCGAGAAAGCGAGATAATAAAAAGGTTTATTATATGGCATTATTTGACCTGAAACGAAACTTGCTTTCTTTCTCGTCCTTGCTGTTTTTTACCGGTTGGCTTTCCCTTTACTAGTTTTTGTCCATAAAAAATAAATCGTTTCAAATTGTATCGTCTAGATAGTTAAACTGTTTTCCAAGTTTTTTTCCTTCGAATGACCTTCGTAAATGGTTTTTCGTTTCGTTTATTTTGCGTTTTGCTGTTAACATTACGAAGTTTGTTTATATTTGACTGTAAAATTGCGCGTTTTGGATCGTGGTCGATTACGGGAAAATAATGGACCGGCAAAAATGTTTCTTGCGTGGGAAGCAAAAATTGCAAGGGTTTTTTTAATAAAAATTGTTATATTTTCGCCATTAAAATTTCACGCACAAACCACGCAACCTGCGAGATTTTTGTGAGACTGAAATCTCGTGCATTATTGAGTTGCACGAACAAAGTTTTTTCGAGTATTCGACCAATCAGTGCCCGTGTTTTTTTAATATTATTTTATAATATACATTGCATTTTTGAGATAGACAGCCTGTTTCAGCACAAAGTAAGATGGAAAGTAAGATGAGACCAATATTACCGAATCCGATAAGTTTGCTAAACGAAAAAGAAAAACTTCCGACTTCTACCGCTCAATCCAAGAGCAACGATAGCATTGATCCTGGGAGATGTCGGTCAAATAGCTCCACAACTGAAGCTGGTAATGTTGACACAATGCAGACATCGAATGCCAAGTCAGTGATCTTAAAAAGTTCTGAGAAAGAAAATATACAACCACAATTGGATGAAAAATCTGTTGAAAATAGCAGAGATTGTAATGTTTCCGACTCGGCATCATCTGTGGTGGACGATAGCGAGGTAACTGTTTGTCTTTGTAAATCTATTGTACTTAAATATCTTCTTGTGTTCTCTTATCGTTTGTTTCATTATTGTTCCACTCCATATTGTATCGTCTGGATAGTTTAACTGTTTTCCGAGTGTTTTTCCTTCGACTCACATTCGTACATAAATATCCTCTTGTGTTCTCTTATCGTTTGTTTCATTATTGTTCCACTCCATATTGTATCGTCTGGATAGTTTAACTGTTTTCCGAGTGTTTTTCCTTCGACTCACATTCGAAAAAGCGTCACTTCCGGCAAAAATGTTTAAGATCCAATCTAAGCGCGCCATTTTGCCGGAAGTGACGCTCGCCATGTAATAAAAGCAAACAAAATATGAAAGTTTTATTGTTTTTATGTTGATTCTTCGTCAATACGTGCTATGATATCTTGACTGTTTTACACAAGTGAAGCCCAACGATAGAATCATAGTGACAATGCAATTGGGAAAGCAAATGGAAGTAAATGTTTCACATGTCCTTAATGTGTCTCAAGCCTCTTTGTAATGAAGATATTCGACTTGTATGCAGCTGTGTTATACTTCATGTAATGTTAGTTTAACCGTTTACCAAGAAGACGAAACAATCTCCCGCCTGAATTGATGCACGTTTTTTATAAAATGAGGGAAGGAACTTATCTGTTTTAGCTAACCTGTATGTATCTCCTTGAAGGCATTTTCATTCATATAGTGATGCCCCGTACAACGTACATTGTCAAGTGTTATTGTACAACGTATAATTCAATGTGTTTTTTAATGATTTCATTCATATAGTTATGCCTGTACAACGTATATTGTCAAATGTTTTTGTACAACGTATAATTCAATGTGTTTTTTAATGATTTCATTCACATAGAGATGCCCCGTACAACGTATATTGTCAAGTATTATTGTACAATTTATAATTCAATGTGTTTTTTAATTATTGAATCTTTAGGCTCGTGCAATCTCATTTGCTCAGACCTATTTAAATAATGTCAAGGTAGGCCCTTTTATTGGAACCGTTTCATCGCATATTGAAATGAGACAGCCTGATGCAATATGATTTTTTTCAATCAGACTGATAGGCATTCGTAAAAATTTTGACTCTTTACTTAACACTATTCACATTCTTTATATTCTTTGATAATTTATAAATTTTAGAATGTTAAGGAACATAGTCCATTGTAAGGAATTACTTAATATTCTCACTGAGTCAAAATCAAACCGTGTGAAACCAACGTGGTAAGTGTGTTAACCATTAAAGTAGTTGTCATTTGGAATGTGTTTTCATTGTTTTACATTGTGATCCAGTGTGTGATCCATATTCATTCATTCATACATCAGTGTGTTACTGCAGTGTGTTACTCCAGTGTTTTACTCCAATGTGTTACTCCACTGTGTTACTTATGTGTGTTACTCCAGTGTGTTACTCCAGTATGTTACTTCAGTGTGTTACTCAGTGTGTTACTCAGTGTGTTACTCCAGTGTGTTACTCCAGTGTGTTACTCCAGTGTGTTACTCCAGTGTATTACTCCAGTGTGTTACTCCAGTGTGTTGTCCTGTGTGTTACATTAGTGTTACTCCAGTTTGTTACTCCAATGTTTTACATTAGTGTGTTACTCCAGTGTGTTTCTCCATTGTGTTATCCAGTGTGTTACTCTAATATATTATTTCAGTGTGTTACATGAGTGTGTTACTCCAGTGTGTTACTCCAATGTTTTACATTAGTGTATTACTACAGTGTGTTACTCCAATGTGTTACTGCAGTTATTCTAGATGATCCTTCTTGTTGTTGTTTGACGATAATTTTGTTTATATCGCTTCTTCAAAGAGTGATGAAGCTATGTTTACATTATAGTTCCTTACATCAATACTTGCAGGTTTCATTTTAGCATTAGCCAATGCATTTAACACAATGTTTTTAAGCTAATACATTAAATTCAATGTTATTTAAATGAATAAGCAGTTTTAAACTTATGGTTTACCTTAATGCACCACCAGAATGCAATTATCCTAACTCATAAAGCGCTGTTGTGTTTTTGAATTTAGTTGTACAAAAAAATAGCTGATATTTTCAGTGAATTTCCTGAATTGGTTCGCGACTTTGTTGGATTTCTTGAACCACATGAAGCTTTGGAGGCCAATGTTGTAAGAAATATTATTGTTGAAAGTGATTCTAAGTAATGAAGTATTTTCTTGCAATTTTCTTTATTCAGTACAACGCAGTGATAACTTGGTTTCATTTCCCTGCTGCTTGTCATCTTACTTTAACAGTATGGTGCAGTAGATAACATAAGCCATTTCATCATTCTTAACTATGTCTACTCCCACACAACAATCACATGCGTTGATTGGGCTAATTTGCTATATGATAATTCATGCGTAGTAAGATATGGGTGGCACAAGGTGGTTGCTTTCAATATATATTCACTATACTGTGCTTTAACACTACATTCTAAGTTGCAAGAAATTATTTCATGGTGTATGTTACGGCTGTTTATTCATGTCCTTCATCATCACCCAACGTTCTTTTGTATTTTTGCAGTTCATGCAACACAAAGATGTCGTAAAAGCGAGAAACTTTTTTGAATGCTTGCAGGTGTGTGAACGCTAATTCTATAAAATGGCAAAATGGCAAATACAATTTTTTGTTGAGCCTAAAATAATTTTGCACCAAGATTTTTAACGCTTAACTTGTGTTTAGAGAGCTAGTTGATGTATATGAATGAAACCTTTGTTACTTTTAGAACCATTTTGCCAAAAGCCCATCTCATTTGCAAAAAATACTAAAATGTTTGGCTTCGTTTGATTTCAACAGGTCGAGCGTTAATCAAGTAAGTTATTCTTTCTAACCACATTAGTATTTTCATTAGATCATGGAAATATATATATATGTTATTTACCGACTGTGAGGCCTGGATAGAAAAATATTTTTCTATAAAAGCAAATAGCCAACAGCGATATAATATTGCGCAGTTAGATTCAACTATGGCGGTAAACTAAACAGTGAAAACTTCAGCTACTATACATTTTACCTTAGAAAACTCAAAATTCACATAAATTACATTATTACAATCAAGAATTGACTGATAATTTCCTTTTTAAAACGAAAAAAAAAACAAAACAAACAAAAAAGAACAAGTCTTTGCTCAAGGAGCTATTTAGCTGTCGGATTCTGGACCGCGGTCAGTCATCGTTAAATTCCACCCGCTGCTACAGCCAATGAGATTGCACGAAAGGCTTGGACTCCACCCGCTGCTACAGCCAATGAGATTACACGAAAGGGTTGGATTCCACCCGCTGCTAAATTTTTAAAAAACAAAAGGACGTTGTGTTTTTTAAGCAGTTTTCTTTTTTTGTGCTAGTGCTAGTTTCAAATAGTAAACCAGGTCCCAGCTTTTGTGTGAAAGTTTCACCCGAAGAAGGTTAATCAGTTTGAGAATTATTATCGCAGCTATTTTCACCTCAAATGACATGAAAAACGGAAAACTTATTTGAACATCTTGATTTTAAAAAATACGGCTAACCTGACGTTTACTCCTCATTTGAATCTGAAGATGACTACCGCTAAGGTTGTCGAAACGTCAGTCAACAACAACAAAAACAGTCCTTCTCAGGACTATACTAACCGATGACGATCTACATGTCACGATAACGATGTCACGATTCCAGGATTCACAAATTATTCATATGTGTATGATGTTGCCTTGTAATGGATGTCTCGACTGCCTTGTAATGGCAAATGTCACGACTGCCTTGTAATGGTAGATGTCACGACTGCCTTGTAATGGCAGATGTCACGACTGCCTTGTAATGGCCGATGTCTCGACTGCCTTGTAATGGCAGATGTCACGACTGCCTTGTAATGGCCGATGTCACGACTGCCTTGTAATGGCCGATGTCACGACTGCCTTGTAATGGCCAATGTCACGACTGCCTTGTAATGGCCAATATCACGAGTGGCTTGTAATGGCCGATGGCACGACTGCCTTCCATAGTTAACAAAAGAATTATAAGATTTTAACAACACATAAGATTGCAATCTGCAATTATAATCTACAGTCAATAAATATAATCCCACCGGTCTTGTATTTGCACTATACAATGCAATGTGCAAATCGGGGTTTTCGCATTAAACAGCCAAAAAATGTTTTGCTTTTTATTTTAGTTTTACGACGCAATCCTACCGCTGTTGAAAGGTCAACAGTTCCTAATCGAACAATTCAACTCCTTTTTTGACCATTTAAAGCCGAAACAAAGGTGTGACGTTTGTTTTAATTAAGATTTAACAAAAACAAACTCTCTGTAATCTTTTTTTATTGGTGGGTTGCAACCATCCCCCTGGGAGTAAGAGAACAATAGAATGCTCGCCATGTTAGATGAAATTTGCATTGTAAGGAAAATCCTTTGTTAAAATAATCCAACATGGCGACTATGACGTAACTTGCAACCCATGAATTGACTAAGGGGCTGTTCACATAAGCCCAGCTAAGCGGGATTCAGCGAGGCGTGAAATGATTTTGAGTCATTGAAAGGAGTAAAAATTTTAAACGCAAACTTTACAATCTTTCTCAGAAGTCATGAGTCATTTTAGTTGTAATTTTCAAATCTGGCCTAATTATTTGCTTTCATTTTAAAGGTTTTGTGAATTTGCAAGTTCAGAACATAGGGAAATTGCTTAAATAACTTTTTTGTTGTGAAGGAATTAATCTTTTCCATTTGCTAAAATGATTAAACGCTTCGCTGAATCCCGGCTACACGGGCTCATATGAACAGGCCCTAAGTCCTTCGTTGATGTTTGAACTGTTTTATTTCTAATTATGATCGTATCAACGTATCTCATGCGATCTAACTTTTGTCTTTAGTAACGTTGACGACTTCGAAGAAGTTGAATTAGGTAGTGGAAGTGAGATTGAGGTATTTCTTTATAAACAGCCATGCGGCTGCATTGTGTTTGAAATTGTATATGTAATGTATAGCGTTAACAAGCAATCTCATAAAATAAATACAATAAAATATGAGCGCTGATTGGTCTATTGCTGCGTTTACATTAGCTTGTGCAAACTGATCTGAGCTTAACCAAACAAATCAACCACTCAATCAATGAGAATTTGCAAATCAATCATGAATACAATTTAAAAGAAAAATTAAAACGTTTGTTTTAAATTTGTCCGTTTTGCGTTGATTTTTTTTAAAAGAAGTGAAAGATGTTTTTCGTGTTTGCACTAGCTTGTGCAAACCACGAGATGACGTTCATGAGAACTCTCGAGCATGCGCAACTGCTGCAACCCTCGACCTTCAAACCACGATGACGTTCGTGAGAACTGTCGAGCATGCGCAACTGCTGCAACCCTCGACCTTCTGTCTCGGGCTTGCAGCTCACGAGTTCTTCCAAAGGTATCCTTGTTTTTTATAACCTTGAGAAAACGTATGCAGTAAGCATCTTTTATTTCTTAAATAATTATGAAAATAATTATGGTTCAGATTTTCACGTTTTTGATAGATATATTTGTTTAGCTTGATTGAAAAACGGCTTATATTAATTTCTTTGTGTATTGCATGCATATGCTATTTTCAGCCCGATAACTTCCTCATTTGAAATAATAGACCATTTTAGGGTAAAATGAAACAATTTTAACACACCAGAGACACGTGCACGCCTCTCAGTAACTTCAAATTATTCCATAGAGTCGTAATGTATGGTGTGTTTATGATGTAAACCTTTATTTCAATGTATGTCTGTTCGATCCTTTAGGCAGATGACTTTGAAGACGTTATCATTCCTGATATAAAGAGAAGCTTGGCTAAGGTTTCTCAGGCTTGCAAACCAGTAGCCAAAGGGACAGGTGGACCGTTGTCAAGGCGATTCTCTAAACTCAGAAAAGATGAAACCGGCGAGAGAAAGGATGGGAACCGTGATAGAAAAGAAGGGGATGATGTGAGAATTGATGGGTATGATGAGAGAAATGATGGATACGATGAGAGAAATGATGGATACGATGAGAGAAATGATGGGTACGATGAGAGAAATGATGGGTACGATGAGAGAAATGATGGATACGATGAGAGAAATGATGGGTACGATGAGAGGAATGATGGATACGATGAGAGAAATGATGGATACGATGAGAGGAATGATGGGTACAATGAGAGGAATGATGGAGAAGATGAGACAAAAGATGGCGACGTTGAGAGAAGCAATGGATACGATGAGAGAAATGATGAAAATGTCGATGTTTCAGAGAAGTACGTTGATGTCACGGAAGAATCGAATGAACTTTCTTTGAATAACAATGATGAAATTCCCGACCGTATGATCGATTCTGATGATGACGTAGAACTTGATGACGACATGCTAGACCAGGAAAACAACGAGAACGAAGGCGTTTATAATCAAAGTAATCATAGCAGTCCAAGTAGTGAATGCCGGTCAGTGTACGAAGCTTTTGAGGATTACATGCAGTCACATGAAACCATTCACAAAAATCCGTTGACTTCAAAATCAGAAGTCGTCAATGTCGGTGAGTCATTGGACATAAAAAATGATGCTGTTGAAACGCCGTCCCTGATTGGTGCTTCACATGTTGATATCGATCATTGTGGGAACGGTGTTTCTTCGAGTTTTGAAAACTGGAATGTTTGTAAAGATGAGCGTTCTTGCTCGAATCAAGTTGACGACGAAATGTCGAATTCGTATGAAAAGAAAACTCGAGATATTTTAGATATTGCCGAAAATAGTCACACGAAAGTAGAAAAAGTAGCAAACAAAGTGCAAATCGACACTAACGCATCGACAAATATCCAGAGAAAAATATCTGCGCAAAATCTTCAAGTTGATGAAGATGGAAAGTCGATCATTTGGACGAGGTAGAACAATTGCTGCATGAAAGTACTGGAAGTAACAATAATTTAAAACACCGAACAGTAGACTCTCGCCTTCTTGATAATTCATATTTTTTGTCTTTCCAAATAGAGAGGAGGACAAAATAATATTACAGTTTTGTCAGATGCGTGGCGTGCATGAAAATACATTCGAAGATATCGCGAGAGAACTCGGCGAAAAGACTGCTAAGGAGGTTATCATTTTTGCTAGTTTATCGTGTTTGATTAAGGCCACAACACACACGTCGAAAATACACAATATTTGATTGGTCTATTTTGTTTATGTGTCCATTCTCTTGATTTCTTGTATTTTCCGTTTCACGTTACGATATGGTCTATTTTGTTTATGTTTCCCCACCCTCTTATTTCTTGACTTCTCTCCGTATTTTCCGTTTCACGAGGGATATGGTCTATTTTGTTTATGTGTCTTTCCCCGCCCCTTCTCGATTTCTCTCTTTCCGGTACGTTTACGTTGGGTATGGTCTATATGTGTTTCTCTCCCCTCGACTTCTCTCCGTATTTTCCGTTTCACGTTGAGAGGTTTAGTGCAGTATGGATTGTAGCCCTAGGATGTACTGTATACGCTTTAGTTTGCTATTTCAAACCGAATCACGATGTAGTCGCATTTTTCAAAACGAACAAAGTTATTCCTGACATAATGAACTCTCAGTTTTACTTTAAAGCAGTGATGTAGCCATCCTTTTTTTGGAACATGTACTCTGTTCTCTCACTCCGAAATCTATAAATTATGGTAATGTTCTGAAAGTTAAATTGCTCTATTAAAACTTGTAGATTAGCAAAACCACTGCTTTAGAGTAAACCTTTTGGAAGTCAGGTTTCGATTTCTGTTGTTCGGGCAATTTTGCGCAAGTATACCTTTCATTTAATGAAAACTTTTATCTCCAATGTTTGTTTACCTTGTTTTTTTGTATCGTTTCTTTCTTGTTGTTGCCCATAACAGAATCAGTTCGTAGGAAGGAATTTTTTAAAAAGTTTGTTTCGTTTATGATAGGTCAAAAGCCGGTTTCGTATTTTGATGAGCTTATTGTCACGTGATGAAAACGATAGCCAATCGGAGAGTGAAGATGACAGTTGTCATGACGACGAAGAAATGTAAATTTAAAGCAAGATATTTGACCAATAAGGTGAACAATGACTGAATTATTCAATTATTTATACAGATATAATCTTCGATGATTTACTTTCCTGTGTAATTTTATATAGTCCGACATTCTTTTGTGATCTTATATCAACTCTGATCTCCTGGATGTTTAACATAACTTACGTATCGTGATGATTTTAATGAAGAAAATGGGTGCATCAACTCTTATCTCCTGGATGTTTAACATAACTTACGTATCGTGATGATTTCAATGAAGAAAACGGGTGCATCAACTCTGATTTCCTGGATGTTTAACATAACTTACGTATCGTGATGATTTCAATGAAGAAAACGGGTGCATCAACTCTGATTTCCTGGATGTTTAACATAACTTACGTATCGTGATGATTTCAATGAAGAAAACGGGTGCATCAACTCTGATTTCCTGGATGTTTAACATAACTTACGTGTCGTGATGATTTCAATGAAGAAAACGGGTGCATCAACTCTGATCTCCTGTATGTTTAACATAACTTACGTATCGTGATGATTTCAATGAAGAAAACGGGTGTTTCAAACCTCAAAAATAGTTCAAAATGCTTTACTTTTTGTGGGTCGCCACGCGCGCATGCGTGGCTAACCACTATTGTAAGGCTTATTTCCATTCAGTACAAATTGTCGTGCGATCGACTTTTTCCGATGACTTTCTTTTGAATTGTATGCAGCCGTGTGAAACTGCTCCGGTCGAGAGCTTACAATTGAAAAGAAAGTGATCTCAAAAAGTCGCTCGCGCGACAATTTGCACTGAATGGAAATCAGCCTTTATTCTGCAAAAAGTAGAACGGCCGACCGATTTCCAAATCATTGACCTGTATGACTGAACTGGATGTAGCATAAACAATATAATTTTATGAATTCGTTTCGTTTGCGCTATAATGGTGTAGTCCTGGCCCTTGTTCTCACTTGTGATTATGTCGCTAGTGAAAACTATTCTTAATGGGCTGGCATAGTGTCTTGCATTGAAATTTCACAATAGGCTAATGATTTGGTATCTCCAGGACTCTTTGAATACACCCTGCACATATTTTGCTACGCGTTATTCAGCTAGTCTGAATTTCACTCATTTATGTACATACAGTAGTTATAAAATGCTCATCTTTGAAATTCACCGACTTGTAGAATTTGAATGATTCGGGATAAATTAATCCCCAAGGAGCCGCAAACGCGACTGAAATGAATTTCGTGCTCGAAATTTGCAATGTACAGTAGCTGCAATACGTAATTATTCTGGTTTTCAGTTGTGTCTGTACAGGTCTTCGATTACTGCTGAGTTACTGCATTCGGTATTCATAAAAAGGAAACCTCTTACAATCAGACAAATTACGTCAAGTTACAGGTTGATGTTTTTATCAGGGTGAACGAGTTTGTTGTGGAAAGTACAGACACAGAATAAGAATTCTTGACTTCCAACCGTTCTCTTGAGATTTACCAAACAATGTTGCTCGACCACGTCGACTGGTGCCAGCAATAGCACTGATAAAATATTCTTTTGTATCATACCACCAACATGGCTGAATTGCAAGTCAAGAATGTACAGAAGAGTCACTCGTGTCGGAATCTTTGATGTTTTTGTCCTCGCGCATGTCGTGGCGCGCATGGTGGCCGCCATTATTCCAGCCAGATGATTAAGCTTTTTGACTTTTTCCAAACCTTTAAATTGATCCGAAGTCATCTCTTGTGTCAAAATATACTTGAATTCATTATTAATTATTGACTTCATGTATTTTTAATGGTTGGAAACAAGTGAGAAATCGTAATCATCTGGCTGGAATAATGGCCGCCATGAGGACGCGTTGTACACCTGAGTGACTCTTCTGTATAATCATTATTCTATGGTGCAAAGTAAATATAAAAATTAGTACGATTTAATTATATACGTCCATACGTCACATGTATGTTGTGAGATTTTATTTGCACAATAATTCTTAGCCAGTAGGAGCACAGAAACATAATTTCATTTTTTATGTTACAAAATTTGCTTTCTATGACCACCAAAAATATATTCACGATAAAGTTCGAAAAACTACTTATTTAAATTATAGAATAATGTTCTAAACGAAGTTGGAATTTGTAAACTTATGTATCTTGCGAACTATCCGTCAATAATTTTCAATGAGCAGCATTTTCTACCCTAATGAATCCCAAAAATTTCACTTGAAGAGCATTGAACAATATAAGGAAGTTTTTACTGCAATAACAGTCCTTTAGGTAGCTACAATTTGCGAGCAAATGACGGAAGTCAAAGTGAAGAATCCTCGTGGATCAGAGCAAATTTCTTATAAATCTCGTCGGCAAAATGTTGGCAATTGTAAGTACGCCACGTGTAAGGTTTAAGTAACTCCGTATCATTACATAGATAGCTAACTAACTCGAACATAGTCCCTCGACCATTAGCAGAGCGCAATTCTGTAATATCACCTGGACGTTTATTTTTCTTAAAGCTATCTTTCACAAATTCGCGATTGCTGCTGTTTTGAATTGTTATTCCCTCGTTATTCTTTTCGATCGACCACCAGCGTTGGGTTGTTTTGATTACAACGAATTGATGATTGATTATGGATTCGGTCAGCTGTGGCTGCCAGTACTTTAGCGGATGCTTATAGATGACGATGTTTTCAATCGTTTCCTTCTCATCGATGATACTTTTCATGTCATAACAGACACCTTTATGATCAATAACCATCACTCCTACAGATGAGTCAGGTTTGAGATAAAAGCATACCCGTCCTGACCAGTCTGGTGCTCCAGCGGAACTGCTAGCGCTGCTGCCCATTACTGCACTATTTTCCTTTGATAAAAGCAAGATTTTACATTGTTAGGAAGAGTTAGGAAGAAACACGTATCTAAGGCTGTAGAGTCGAACGAATTCGACACACGAGACGGGGAGATTCAACAAATATGGCGGCTAAGTTTTTCATGTGGTCACAAGGCGTGTTTACAGTGGCGTCCCCAGGGAGGGAACTGAGGGGGGTTTGTCTCTCCCCCCATCCAGTTATTTCAATGATCAATTTTGAGATTAAAGAAGGAAATGAAATAGCGTTTTAGAGAACATGAAGTCAAACATATCTCTATGGAAGCATGCCTCTGAATCGCCATTGAAGTCACACACATTTGACGGTTAGATTGTCCTCCCTTGTCTGAACAACCTGGCGACGCCACTGCGTGTTTCCATCGCCGTTGTCACAATCGTGTGTTCTATTATTATTAAAAGTCATTTATATCGGGTCATATTATCAATCATTATTATAGTTTTATTATTGTTTTGTTATTGTTTTATTGTTATTGTTTTATTATTATTGTTTTATTGTTTTATTGTTGTTGTTTCATTATTGTTTTATTATTGTTTTATTGTTATTGTTTTATTATTATTGTTTTATTATTGTTTTATTTTTATTATTCTTTCATTTATTCATTATTCATTTATTTATTTATTTATTTGTTTCATTTATTGTTTTTTTTATTTTGTTTTATATCGGGTCATATTATCAATCATTGCTGCTCGATGTGTTACAAGTCTACGATTATGGGGCCTCACCTAACTCATTCTGCTCAAATAAGCGAATAACTAAGATGTTAGTTGATGAAACAGGGATTTCTAGTTAAAATAACCAATACATTGAGTCCGTCCCGTAAGGAATATTATTTTGTTATAGTTCATTCCAAAGTTCAACGGAATTTTGCAATTTGATCTCTCATTCCTTTATGCGGCTGCCGCTGTCATAAATCAAGGATAAATTTATCGATAAAGTAGTAAGATGATTTGATTTCAATTTTAATTTGCGAACCGAACTTATTGTGCATTAATTTTATAATAAACATTTTGCAAGGAATAAGCCTTCGTGACTGTACAAAAATACAATTTGTAGTTGTTGAGTTTATAGGCTATATGTACTTACGTCTTGAGCGTTCAAAGTTCACCGCAACAGCTCGAAGGAAGTGAATAAATACATCAAAATTATTTCCTATAAACGCAGTGACTAGCCTGTAAATTGCTCAAATTTACCGGGAACTGCTCTGGACCTAATCATCTAGCGATAAATATTTTCTCTGTGAATACATGAAAATGAAAATTTCACTGGGTTTTGTGCTTAATTTCTTTGAAATTGTCGTGATCTGGGCGTTCATTTCTTATGCATACATGAATGTTTAGATTATATGCAAGCGCTTGTAATGTATAAATACAGTAATAAAACGGCAGCATACTTGCGTGTTGAACTCCCTCAGGATTAACGACGGGAATGAGACAATAAATGTAAATTAATTTTACTCAAGAAATACATATATCTATCAAACTGCGCGTGCAGAGTTCATACAGATATACAAAAATCACTTACTCGCGACAAGCAATGGCTCAATAATCAATGTCCACTGGCTATAAAATTTCATCAATCAAACAGCGTCGAAGGTATTTTAGAAGTAAAAGTAAGCTGTTAGAACTTTATTTGACATTTAGAGATCTGCAACTGGCTTTGAGCAGGCATTACGAATCCGTTTTATTTGCTCCATTGTTGAATATTGACAGTCAATATTTTACATCCTTACCTGCCTGTAACTTTAAGAACTGAAATTTAAAAACAATTCCAAATGAAAGTTTGGTCTGCACTGTTTGCTGCTTGACAGGGCGCAAATGTCAGGTGAACAAAATCGTCTTGCATTAAAATTCCTTTTCTATAGGAATAATTAAAAATTCCTTAATATTTTAACAACTCATTTGTTTTATAATTCTAGTATCTTAAATAAACGAAGGAAAATTTTACAAGATGTAGTCACGAAGTAGCAAGAGCATTTTAAGGTTCAATCAACCAATTGTTAAAGTAACAGAAGTATGGATAGAAGGACCGAGATATCACTAATTTAGTAGCAAGAGCGTTTTAAGGTTCAATTAACCAATTGTTAAAGTAACAGAAGTATGGATAGAAGGACTGAGATATCACTAATTTAGTAGCAAGAGCATTTTAAGGTTCAATTAACCAATTGATAAAGTAACAGAAGTATGGATAGAAGGACTGAGATATCACTAATTTAGTAGCAAGAGCATTTTAAGGTTCAATTAACCATTTGATAAAGTAACAGAAGCATGGATAGAAGGACTGAGATATCACTAATTTAGTAGCAAGAGCATTGGAAGACTTGAGCATTTGCACTGCCTGTATTTACACAAAAAGATCTGATGAAGTAAAGAAATTTGGTTTGAGGAACTGAGATTTAACAAAACTAAATATGCATGTTAATTTTGACTTTAAATACTGACCAATGTAGCCATACATTACGGACAAACTAAAAAACAGCACGATACTCATACTTACCAGTGTAGCCATACATAACGGACAAAGTAAAAGACAGCACGATACTCATACTTACCAGTGTAGCCATACATAACGGACAAAGTAAAAGACAGCACGATACTCATACTTACCAGTGTAGCCATACATTACGGACAAAGTAAAAGACAGCACGATACTCATACTTACCAGTGTAGCCATACATTATGGACAAATTAAAAGGCAGCAAGAGACTCATACTTACCAGTGTAGCCATACATTACGGACAAATTAAAAGACAGCAAGAGACACATCATACTTACCAGTGTAGCCATATATTACGGACAAATTATGAGACAGCACGATACTCAACTTGTTATTCATATACAGTTTTGGCAAGAACATGAGATTATTACAATGATACAATCACTGTAAAATATATGAATAGCGTAGCGCTAGAGATGAAAATCCAATCAATTAATTTATAAACATTCATGACACAAGAATGAGGAGCTGTTTGACTTCCTATATCACCCTCAAGAAAATAATCTATTCAGATAGAGTTGACCATTTTAAGAACATTTGAAATATATTTTTTAAGACAAAAATTTGATCTTCCTTGACTTTTTGCCCCTCAAAGTTGGATTTTTTCGTGTTTGAACGTGAGGTGCTGTGACTGGGTCTAGTTCACCGACCTCTGACGTACATTGGAGAACATGCTGCTTTTTAACATTTACAAAACGGGAAAATGGTCGTCACAGTATGCGTTGACAGACTAAAAAAATTCAGTGAAAAAGTTTGTAGTTGAATAAATTAAACAGTTATACGCAAATGGCTCGTAAAGGAT